TAAATCTGGGTGCTAAATTCTTCTATTTGGTGAATAAATGTTGGAGCTCTGATAAAAAAGAGACTTTTCATACCAGTGTGTAAAAGCTGCTCATTGACAAGTGGCAGATTTATTGAAAGATTTTCACGCCAAGACAAGTAGTGTAATAATTTATGCGTGCTAATTAAACTAGCACCGTGTAAAAAGTTGTACTCTTTTCTAATTATCGCGCAGGCGTGGTAATTATAAATTAATGTCTGCACACGCTGGATTTTTGCAAACGCGAATTTCTCGTCTCGGATTTGACGCCGTTAATTAGGAGAGAAAGAGGACCACCGTGCAGTTGTGACAACTCATTAGCATGCAAAAAGCTAATCCATTATTTCTCTAGAGACACAAAAAACTGGGTTGCAAAGCATGCTTCCTGTTTAGTCTTTAATTATGTAAACTAGGAAAACGGAAACCATTTGCATTTTAATCCAAAGGTTGTATATAAAAAATTATGTATAAATCAGAAAACTGAAAAAATAATTAAAAATCAAGTTATTTGATCCCCGTTGTTTTATTAAAAGTTTTTAACCTTGGCGAAGAATTTCATTGTTGATTTTTTCCTTGTTTTTGTCGGCGCGAGCCACGGATTTGGCTCGTTTAGCAGAAAATTGGAGTCGATCATTAATCAATCGAGTGGCTTAGCCGCGAGAGAGCAATAAATAAGGGCCAACAGATTCATCTGCGGTCCCACATTCCAGTTCAGTGACCAAAACGCCAGCCTTCACAATGCCTTGCCGTGGGCTAAAGAAAAAAAACACACACCGCTCTGTTGTGACGAGGCGGGGAAATTTCCTCAACCAATTTCGTGTTTTTCAAAGCGACCTCAGCTTAAGAAATTTCAAAATGTGTTACGCCTTCATCGAGGCAAAATATCATTTGGTATTCATATTGAAATTACTTTTTAGAAAAGTTAATACCGAATTTTAGATTTTAAAATTAAAATTTTAAGGGTTTATTGAATATAATTAATTATGAACATTTATTAAATATTTATTAGTATTTACTTGCTGCTTTTTAGTTAATTTATTTTAAAAATTTCTAAAAAATGTTTTAATATTTTGCATAATTTTAATATTTCAATCATTGATAATATTCTTGACTGGCTGCATCAATTTTGTGTTATTACGATTTGCGCAATGTCGCTGTTGGAATCTGGTTTCTGAACGTAATAACTCGATCAGGGAAATTTCACATGATCCCGAGCTGCATCCTTGACCGAGTGAATTTCGTTCCATCTAATAACCATCGGCGGCGGCGGCGACGTTATGATAATTAGGCCGTGCGCAATACAATTTTTTTTACTTCTATCGCTAAACTCGTTTCCTCAATTAATTACCTCCCATGATTTATCTCTGCAATGGAAAGTATAGGAGCAGATTTATAATATTACAAACTGGATTTCCCTTTTATATGCGAGTTCTTTCCGTCTCACATTTATCTTAAAAAAATATATTATACATAACAAGTCGATCTATTTATTTGTTTCCAAAAATCTTCTTAAGTACTTGGCGAAAAGTTTGATCACTTGTTAATTTGTTTGAAACACAACTTTGGAATAAAAAGTTTCAAAAAAAAAAAAAAAAAAATCTTCCAAACAAAGTTTATCTCTCGCTAATGGTTGGAATCATCTTGTCCGTCATCAATAACACGACAAAGTGCACCCAATTTAATTCCCACGTGCAAATGATTGATGCTTAGATTAAAAAGCAATATACACGTGCTGAGAGGAGGAATAATTAATGAGTCCTCGCCTGACACACGATGCGAATCGCCATTCAACTCCAGGGAACAACACCAGTTTTTCCCACGCGATTTTTTTTTAACAAATTTCAAACAAAGCAAAATGTAAAAATATCAATCCTGATTAAAAAATGTGCGAAACAATCTGTGTTTGAGAAAGTTTGTATTGGAAGGTTGGAGGTACCTGTAAAGACCTACAAATTTCAATTACTTAGGTGAATTTAATAGAGACAAAAGCTAAAATTGAGTAATTGGTTTACTTATCTAGATTCTTGTGTGGTCGATGCGTTTATATTGTCGATTATCATTTTATTTTTACCAAATTCATTTTCAAAACAATTATACTTGTGTTTCCCAGTTAATTCAAAATTGTTTTTAATTCCGAAAAGAAAGACTTTGTAATTCTGAAATAGTCAAATTTCTTTGAGTTGCAATTTTATTTTGAATCTCGTTGGCTTCATAAATTTTTATCAGCCTTATCAATTTCAATAAAAAATTGTGAGAAATGAATTCGTAGATTAAAAAGGTCAACTCAGAATTCATGTGATGATGATGCGAATAAATTTATTACGGCGCGATCATGGATGGCTCGAAATCGCTTTGAGGAGAACCTTGATCTTCACTTTTGCTTCTCACTTGCGCGATCATCGACACAGACACGCGCTCTAACAAAATTAAATAAATAATTTACTGAATTATACGCAAGAAACTATGGTCACCGAGAAAGAAAGTTCCTAGAAGCAGAGTTATGCGCAATAATAATTTTAATTTTGTGAAATTATTATGAATTACTGGTCAAAAACGTATATAACTCTGCTCCTAGCAAAGCTACGTCGAAATTCCGGGTACCAAAATGCTCCTCTAAACATTCTCTTTCAAACCATGTGCCATACATTGGGAAAATGTTCCAAAAAGGTCACGGGTCACGGAGGTCAATGACCTTAAGTGACCCAATCACCATGTGCAGTACATGGTCTGATAGAACTAAAGAGAATCACGTTGTGTTATTAGGTGTTGTGAGGTATTTTGAACAGAAAAGAAGTTATTCGGGTTCAAAATTAATTTTCAAGTTCGAGAGCTTAAAAAAGTGCTAAAAACCATGTTTTTCGGTCTTTTTATTTTTATTTAAAAAAACTAAGAATTAACCCATCTTTTTTATTGACTTATATTATGTAAAATTTTACGTTCTACAAAATGGCTATCTCAGATTGCTGAAAAAAGTGTCGGCTAACCATCAACTTTGAGGTCAAAGGTCACGAGGTCACCGAAAGTGACCTTGACCCGTGACCCACAATTTTCCGTCTATCAGCAAAGTTATAGAGGGCGACGAGACCAGTTCAACAGTGCCCGGAATTTTGTTCTACGACCATGGGAAGCCAAGATACAGCCGTTTGAAAATTTCAAAAACCCAAATTTGAGCGTCCCGAAAAACCCGCAAATTTTGAGATATCGGGGGAAACCTATATATTTTTGGAAACCTCAAATCTTGGTCTTTCACCCTATCAATTATGGTTTTGCTCAGTTGACGCTGGCCAGCACACTGCTGCTTTGGGAAACTTTTGCTCCCATTTAATTAAAATTTAACCTATGCAATAAATACTATAATGAAAAAATATTTACAAAACGTCTTGGAAAAATCGTGGAGCCATATATGTTACTCGATACGTTTTTGGGTCTTCGTCGCACGCAAATGTGATCTCATTTGGTGGTTTTATGATTTGTTTTGCGGCGCCACCGCGACTGCTGGATTGCGGACGGGAGGTTGTTGGTGAAAGTGAGCATATTTTTGCAGAGATCCTGCGTGTTTTTATTTGCCTCTCTCGGTGCAGGTGACATTGTAACAATATTACACGTGAAATAAAGTTGCTCATTTGCATTCGTGCGAAGGCCCAATTATATTATTCTCGAGATTTTGGTCTCGTTGCGCAATTAAACGAGGTGACAGAGCTGGGCGAGGTGCTAATTGCCATTTCGACGCAAAATAACCCGTTTCGGATCGATTTTGCAAAACACGACCTTCTCAACGCGACTTGGTTTGCCGATTCGCGGCCGTAAAATAAATCCATTTTGCTATTAAGGCGCCGCGCGGCCTACACGTCTTTTGAATAATGCGAGGCGCCCATTTAAGAAAGTGGCCCATTTACGTCAGCGCTTAATTGAGTGCGTAAAACTGCCTAGAATGTAATTATTTCAAACACACACATCGATTGAAAGTACATTGCTCAATTGATAAATATGGAAAAGAGGTATTAATTTTTATTAGAACATCACGCCGCTCTTGCAAGTGTGATGAAAATAAATCACAATAAGCGAGGAGGTGAACCAAATAAATCGCAATGATTGTAAAAAATGCAAATGATCATTTCTCAATTGCATTTATTTGCACAAATGAGGTAAGCGAGGATTTAATTTTTAGTCTCGGTTAAATTTTTCCTTTCAATTTAATATAATAATAATTTAACATTTTTATTTATTAAAATTTACATTTGGAAGTGTTAATATAAGTAATGGATACGTTTTTGTTTTATACGGAAGGTTTTTGTTTTTGTATTTAATTTATTTAGAAACTAAATTATAATTAAATATAAATTTATATATCAAAAGTCCTGTCAATTTGAGTCTCCGTTAGATACTAAATTTGAGCCCCCTTGGTAAAATAATTTTGAAAATTACCTGGTGCAGCGACTGGAACGATGATCAAATTGATGACGGCTGCCGCTCTCAGGGCTGGCTGGGCTTTTTCGAGAAATCACTCACTTTGGGACCGAATTCGCAACTGGCACTTTGATCACAACATATCTCAGCTGTCTCTTTGTAAACCCCGTCCCCTCATTTTCCCTCTGTTTACGCAGCAAAAAAGGGTGCGATTGCAGAATGCACTGATTATTAGCTTACAAATTTCAAGTGGTTGAGCGCTCTGAAAAAAGTGTTCGTCTTAGAAAAATTGATCAATTTTACAAAAGAGAAAGGGAAAAATGAAACTTTATACAAACGCTTAATTATTTTACGTTGCCACCGATGACAATTTTGAGTTGTTATTTATTGCGTTAAGGCGAGGTAAATTTTAAAAGGTTTTTTAAAATTAATCAATCTTTCAAAGACGAACACTTTTTCCTGGCCACATCAAAATTTGGAAGCTAAAATTATTGCATTACGCAATCACGCCCTTTTTTGTTGCATTAAAGGAGGGGAAATGAGGGGGCGGGGTCAGTGATTGTTTACAAAGAGCCAGGTGGTGTTGTGATTTAAGTGTCAGTTCCGAAATCGGTCCCAAATTGAGTGATTTTTCAAAAAAGCCCAGCCAAGTCAGGTCCCTGAAAAGCGACAAGCGGCGGCCGTCCTAAATTTGATCATCGTTCAAGCCAGGTAATTTCCATTTTCAAATTAATTTTACTTTTGCCATAAGACTGGGCTCAAATTTTTTATCGTCAAATTGACTGAACTTTTTCTCGGCTGTAATTTTCGTAATTTCATTTCATTAACAAATTAATAAGGACCGTGCTGTGCAATGCAGTTTTTTTAAATCGTTTATTATAATTTAAAAATTCAAGCAACTTGTTCTTTATTTAATTTTCCCATTATTGAAAATGGGAGAATTTTTTCAATTTTTTAATGTAATCTTGACAGATTTCTTTCACTTTTTCCGTCACAGTCACTTCCAGGAAACTTGTGGGAAATAACCGGCGGAGAATGAGCCAATTACAAGCCTTGAAAGTGTCAAATTTTGATTGATAACCGAGGAAAGTTTTGATTTTTCACAGCGCAAATTAAAGCGCACCCCGCGGCGCCAATTATTTTATTCGCAATTTATTTGCATTAGCATACGCGCGTGTACGTCACAAACAGCCAAGTTACGACATATTTCTTGACCATGGGTAAAAATCTTCAAATTGCCCGCATGCTAATTTGTATTTTATAAATTGGGGCGGCGCACCAGAATTATAAAACAAAATATATAAATTATCCGCGTGCAGTAAATTTACCAAATTACACGCCCATATCATCTGATGAAACCCGCGATGCGTGACCTGGATAGATAAATCACTCAGGGTGCTTAATTAAAATTTAATCGAACAAGTAAAAATTTGTTCTTCGGCAGGGTGGGCAAAACGCCGAGGATGGTTGGCGCCTGAAACGCGACCTTTGCGCCAACGCGATTCGTATCTTTCGCATTTCGAGCCAAAATAACGCTCTCGATGCCCAATTATAGAACAACCGCGGTGAAAGTGATTTCGGCCGCCTCTTGACATTTTTATTATTTGATACTTTTTTGCCCCGGAATGAGGAAATACATATACATATTAATTTGAATTTACGTATTCATTGATAGGAAATTAATCTAGTTGAAATTGATATATTTTGTATAAAAAGCTGCTTTCAAACAGGCTTTCCCTCGCGGGTTTGTAATTATTATATTTATTTTTACCGACGAAAAATGCAAAACTAGAAATCTTGTCGGACAAAACCGCGCAGTGCTCCCGATTATTCCTTCATTGTCTCGCGACGGCCATTTGATATATTCATTTATGAAGCTAATCATGCTAATGAACGCCTGTCATCACAGAGCGTGTCACATTATGAAATACAAACTTGAAAATAATTTATGCGATTGTTTCAATTTAAAATAGGGTGAAAATAAGGATGAAAATTGAGATTTCTCCTCATGGGTGGAAATCAAACATTTTTAGAAGAAAACCTATCTCAAGGGCATGAATTTTTTTCTGGTTAAAAACGGAACAATAGTTATGATTCCTGGACTAAATAAAAATTCATGATCAATGTGTTGGAAAATTTCTGTAATATATTAATTTGCCGAATAAAAGGTTTGAGTGGAATTGAATAGGAATTTTTGAAAGATGAAAACTCCTCTAGCTTGAAAGTTATTCAAACCAAGTCTGCTCTCCTATGGTGTTACAGTTAGTCAAAGTGAACTTTCATTGAACACTTGCTCACTCATTTGCAAGGAGCCCACGGTGCTATCCCGTCCGTCGCATCTACACAATTAAATTTTCAAATTTCCCATGCTGAAAATTTGCATAACCCGTCCCTAGGTATGCGCGTCTCTTTCGCTCACTCACTCACTCAAAGAGAGACCAATAATAATTAATGACTCCATTGTGTGCAGTTGCTACACTTTTCTAACGTTGCATATGCGATGCAGAAAAGTTGAAGAGATCGTTAAATTGTGATAAATTGCTTCCAATTCCTCGATAAATCTCGCTCAAGGTTGTTCGCTCTCTCTCTCGTTTCGACCTGAAATCCAAGCAAAAGTCTTTTACAAAAAATAAAACACGTTTTTTTTTTTAATTGAAACGGACGAAATAATAAAATTGCACTTTAATTTTATACAAAAAAATCTCGTTAAAACTTAACGACGCGCGCCTCAATTTAGGGACCGGAACGATTAAAAATTTGGCGTAAGCAAAGGAGCTGTTTTTGTACAAACTGATTTTGCATCTGCGCGAACCCGTTCTCGCTCGGCAATAATCATAATGATTGGCACGAATCCAAACAGCAAATTTCCTCTACTTGCGCAAAAAGTGAAATAAATCGCAATGCCTGAGAGGGATGTTTTGAAACAAATATCTCGCGCGTTTATAAATAAAAAAAGTTTCTGCATAAATCGAGAGACAGAGTGAAAGCTTGATTTGATATATATATAATTGAAATTAAATCATTGCGAGTGTAAATTCAGCGCGCAATAAAATCCCGCGGCGAAAAATAAAAACGTCCTTGCAGAAGCAGAGCGACCGAGTTATGCAACCTTCGGCGAAGGAGAAATTTTAATTGTTGGCTCCATTTTTGGATCGTGCGAAAACGTGACAATCTCGGCAGTTTATCTTGAAATTTGATATCCACGGCATTGTTTTTTAAGACATAATCAAATCGTCAAAGAACAACAAAGGAAAAATTTATGTTGATCTCAAATATGACCGTCGACAAAATTTGACGACCATGCCGTTTTTAAAAATCCATTTGACTCTTGGAAAAGAAACAAAACTCCTTGGCCGCTTTTAATTAAGAAGAAAAAAATTAAAAGGATGTCAAAATTAATATAAGATCTTCTACATCTAGCTTTGAATTTGATTATTTGTAACAAAAAATTGCAAACTTAATAAGACATGAATTTTTAATTGATAAATTCGAAAGCATCTGAGGTTTGTATAAAATTTGCAAAACTTATCTTTCTTCCAGATTTTATCTCTCAATTTAATTTTTAAGTCAATATACTTGTTAAAATATTTTTACTCCTTTCTTTCCTCTTAAAAATGCTGTAATAAAATTAAGAAACCATTTCCTCTCATAATTTTTTGTAATGATTTTCGAGGGATCCACTTTTTCTTTTCAGTTGCAATTCAACTTTTCCCACATTTATTATTATTTTTACATTTTATTGCACCTGTGGTATATAATTTAAGCTAATTTTTCGCGCAAATCCAGGAAGGAGGAAATCGCAGTTTTTGTAAAGAAATTGGAAAGCCGCGGCTAATGATAATGTGCAGATCTCGAATGAGAGATTAAAACTTCAATGTGTAATTATATGCAAGGCATGTTGGCCGTCGATCGAATGTATTGAAAAGGAAATTGCTGGGATTGAAGGCCCGAGGGCGACATTTGCTTCCGCCCCGGCACCTTTTATGATGCGCGTTCGAGCCAAAAGGTCTTTTCATTTGCATGTTTTATGAATGGATTCGAGTCGGTTTTCTATTTTATTGTTCGCTATAATAAGAATGATATATATTTTGACAACGAATTTTCACTCGCACAATTCTCGTTCGTGCGCTTTGATTTCCGACCGCCGGCGATTCGGCGAGTAAAAAAAAAAAACTCGTCCAGCTCTCGATCAGAGATGGATTTTGTTTATTGTGACTCGCGTCATAAAAGAGAGTTTTGGCCAAAAGAGACAACGGTATATTGCTAATTTGCTCAAAATCACAGTCATTAAAGGCAATTAAAATGGATGCCAAGTTTAATTTTTGCTCTAGGAAATTATTGTATATATTTTTCCTGTAATTTTATTTTATTATAAAATTTAATCCTATTTTAATATATTTACTTATAAATATCAACAAATAAAGTTTCTAAAATTGTAATAAACTGTAAATCTGAAATGAATCACTTTGTTCGATCCGATATCCTAAATTTAAGCCAATAATGCAATATTTAATCACAAAATCTTTGTAACTTTGAAAAGAAAATTCAATTCAAATTTTTTCTAATTTCTTTCATTATATTTATATAACAATTGTGTACGTTGCATAGATTAAATTTAAATACAAATTGATTGGCAAATAGACTAAAATGGGCCAGGTGCGTCTGTTATTTTCGAATCCAAGGAAGCCTGCAAATTCGACTCTGGTCAGCTGCAGCAGGCGCCGCCACACGCCAGCATCCAAGGCAGCTTTTGAAACAACAAACTTGAACTCGGCGTCTCTCTCTCTTGATGTATAATATTTTATTGTTTTGTTCCCATGACCTTAAAATACCAGAGCGCGCCGCGACGAGAGAAGCAAAAGTATCAAAATTTCGTTTTCGTTTTCCGAGAGAGTGATAGAAAGAAAGAAAGAGGGACTCAATTAAAATCAATGTCAGGAATAAATATATAGATTTGGCAGCAGGTGGAGTAGAAAACCGACCGAGTTATAATTGCAGTTTTTTAATAACAAGAGAGACGTGACACAGATTTCATTAACAGCGAGAGTGCGACGGAGGTCCAGGTCAGTCCCAGGAATTAAGAGAGAGAAGATCAAAACATCTCCAGGCGCTTAGGCTAATTCGTTTCTCGCGGATTTGCTCTGCTTCAAAATCAATCAGTATTTAAAAAAATAAATTCTAAAATAATTCAAATAATTTAAAGGTGGAAATTTTTTAAATAATAATTAATTATAAAGTTAAACTAAAAAAACCCGAACAAATATTTCACCAATTTCATGCGTTAAAGTCTCCAGTTAATTTATAATAATTTTATTTGGACCCAAAAGAATGTTTCTTTTTAAATTTTTTTAGCAATTTTTTATTTTTTATTTGCAAGTAATAAAAGAATTTTTTTTATAGAAGTTGTCCACATTGTTACAATACATTGTTCACATTACTTCGCTGAAGATAATTTATTTATTTAAAAAAAGCAATTGTTGGAAAAACGGCACAACCACTAGCAAGAATTTTGCTAAAACATCCGAAATCAAAAAGACCACATCCGCCGCAGTGAGTTTATTTTAATTGGTTTTAATTATAGCTTATTTTGATCAGTCATATTTCAATTTAAGGTTTTGGTATCTTTCAATGGATTTTAAACCGATTTATTGAGGTTTATTTTCACTTTTAAGCAACACTCTGGACACGTCTGTGCAACGGGTTGCAGAAAAAACCCCTCCCCTTTGTGTAATATTTAAAAAAAAAGTAAAATTTCAATTCAATTCTTTTAATTCTATTTACTTTCAGTAAAATGAATCACAAGAAATGCAAATTGATTAGAAATTAATATGAAATTAGTGTTCGGATGAAAGGAGGTTCTCAAATTTCACGGTTCGCCCACTTGTTAGGATTCGGTGGCAGCCGCGGCGTCATTGTCGCATATTAATCGGGAGCGCACGTAGGTGTCTCTCGCATCCACTGTTGCTGCTGTTATAATAAAAATAATAACAACAAACAAAGCGTGAGAACAGATTTTCCCTTGAAATTGCGGCGACCTCTCCACTTGGGTGACAGAAAATAGAAAAAATATATTTATAAATATTACATAAAGACGTGAAAATCATAACAGAAAACTCGATCGGCGACACGGATTCGGTTTCCCCCAGCGTCCTGCAGGCGGCACCAGCCAGGATCACCTTCTCTCTCTCTCTCTCTCTCTCTCTCGGAGGCTGGTGTGCGATTCGGAATATTTGTGAGAGGTGTGTGCGCTGCCTTACATTATATTCCTACCCATAAAGTTAACCTCTACTGCTGCCCAACTCGCTCTGCACTGCAAGGAGAAGGGAGGCTATAAAAGTTTTCACCACGCAACCAAGTCGGCTCTTGTGGAAAGTGAATCGAGCCAGCCAGGGTTGGCTCTGCTGATTGCAATTTGTGAATATATCCGTTTGGATTTTATTTAGTCCGCCTGTGCAGCCGCCAATGGTTTTCTGAACCTCCAGGATTACTTTCGACACCTGACTTTTGCTATGGCGATTATCAAGGTAAGAATCGTCGAATTTTGATTTTTCATTGCAAATTGCGGCGCGAAATCAATCCAAGTGAGAAAAAGTTGTGTAATTATTATCGCCGAAGCCGCCGCCGCCACCGAGGGTATCTCTTTTCCACCTGCGCTACTTTTGCACGCAGGTGGTAAAAGGGAAAGGCGACAACATCATTCTCACCAGATAAAGTCATTAGCGCTCGCAATTCAAACGATTTCCCAGACTCGAGATCAAATCAATTAATTTTTGTTTCGAGCTTTGAAATGAGTTAATCTTGCAGATTGCCCTGATCGCCGTCTTGGCTGTGGCCGTCGCTGCCAGGCCTGGAGACAAAGATGATAAGGTAATTTTTATTTTAGAATTGTTCTTCCCCAAACCCAGAATTAAATAATAATCTAAAAAGCTAATTTCTTTTGATATGCGTATGGTAAAAAAAGTAATAAAAAATGGCGCGCACATACCTCGCCCGGAGCTAAATTTCCTCTACGCAGACAGTAAAAAATTGCAGCGAGAATTTTAAATAATCATTATCACACCTGAAGTTATTAGGGCCTTTTTGTTTCTCTCTCGCTCGAGATCAGTCACGTGCTTTAAAAAGGGAAACTACTTTCCTGGCTGGCTGACCAAGAGGTGCAGATCGGATTTCTTTCCCCCTTCATAATCGAGCCGGTTTAATCTGCGGTAATTGATCCGTCTAAATTTAGAAAACAGGTGATTTTTTTTTGATAAGTAAAATTTTACTTTTAGAAATAATTTGATTTATGAAGAACATCTGCGACGACTCAAAAGAAAATTAACGCGCGCGTATTGAAAACTCGTTCTGAGCGGCCGGACTGCCGTGGCCCAAAAGTTGAAAGTGTGATTTGGAAACACACATGGGTGGGAGAGCTATTGGCCAATTTTGGCACCTGCCCAAAACGGGTTAATTGGATCACATTTTTACTCCAAATTCGGTTATGCGCGCGCCTGTTTGGTCAACACATTTTTTTTTTAATCAAATTTTTTTTTATATATATACAAAGATTATTTGGAGCATTAACTGGGCTCGAGGCTCTTTACTCATTCATTATCTATCGAGTATTTCAATTTATATTGGATAATTTTTTTTTTCATTCGTGAGATTTTGTTTCCGAAATCGATCAATTAGAAAGGAACATTTAAATCGTTTAATTTCACTCGTAGGCGAGAAAGAGAGCAAAGCATTTCTTCGAAAATAATTTAATTAAATTGTGAATTTCCCTTTGTGTGTATTGTTGCCGCACAACGTCTCATTTTAAGCGATATATACCGGTCGGGCAGGTTGTCTGTCTGTCTCTGCTGCATGGCAGCAATTTCAATTTGAACATTTATTATTCATGTTATTTATTCGAAAATTATTCAGCGAGCGGAGATATTTATTCGATGAAATAAGCACCTGCCGAGGAGATTTGGACGCAGGGAGGAGTCGCCGCCGTTAATTTCGCGACTTTTTCTTTTGCAGACCACCGCGCTAATAACAACAATCGCGTTGATTTACACTCTAGGACCGCTTTGTCTGTCTCTCTCGCTGCTCCGATTTAGATGAATATCTCGCGGGTGCCTCTCTCGCCTTATTCACTTTCACTGCGCTGCAGCGACAAACGGAACTACTTTGGAAAATCTTAATTTATGGTGATCGATAATCCATTGTGCCACTCTCCTTCTGCTCTCGGCCCACAGCTTTTGTTGCAAACACACGCGTCTTGCTTTTATTTGCAATTTAAATCGTTAGAATTCCGCCACCGCTGTAATTGTGGGCGATTATGCCACCTGTAAAAAAACACACACTTTCCAAATTTGCATCATTGTTAAATATAAAATAAGTGCATGGGAAATGAAGTCGGTGGTTCTTGTGGGAAATAAAAAATGCAGTTTAACAATAATTAATGGCGTTAATTAGCAAAATATTCTCTCCTATTGTGTTCTTTTTTTAATTTTTTCGTCGAAAAGTTATCAATTCCAAAATCCTTGTTGTGTAAAAGTACAAACGTTTTTTTCTGCAAATTATTTTTCGTCAAATTCTCTCCAACTATTGCATTATTTTTTTCTTATTTTGATATTTTCATTATATTTCTTAATTTGTATTGACTAAAAGTTTAATCAAATCATAACTTTTGAGCGTTTCCATTCAACTTATTTAAATTTTATTTACATTCGCCGTTTAACATATTATTTTGAAGAGCTCGTCACGGTCATTTAAGGAGGCTGGTTTGGATTGAATTGGGCCGTGACTCGTACCACCTGGTATGGTCAAAAGAACCGAGGCTGGCGCGATAATTTAGCTGGGCCGTGCGTGTCTGACCTTGATCTATTGCAGACAATAAATATGGTATCAATTATGCCGTGTCTTTGTCTTGCTGCTGAATCACCGCAAATGATAACAACGCGCTGTAAAATCGCAGAGTTTAATTGGCCCCGTTGATCTTTTTTGTGCAGGTTGCGACACGTACGCGCGCAGATTTATTATATTAGTTAACATCCTGCTCCACGAGTCAATAATTAATATTGGTGGAGATCGAGCAGCAGTCACTTTTGGAATTACAAAACCTACCTGCGTGCGCGGCGCCGACGAAAGTTGTCTCTAGCGGCAAAAGTCCCGCGCGCGCGCCGAGTAATGAGAGGAAAATTTAAATGTGTGCAGCTCACAAAACTGGTTCATTATGAATCTAGATCACACCGCGTGGCATTTCATCTTTTCCTCGTTTTTTTTTTATTCACTCAGATTGGATTTCTCTTGTTTGTGCGGACCTGCTGATCAATTATTTATTATTATATTTTATAAACTATAGACTAATGGTCGAGAGGTCCAGGTTGAATTTTAACAAAATTGATTATGGTTCGGCCGATTTCTAATTGTGGTCCTGCTTTCAGACGTCGCAGCCGTACGAGTTCGAGTACGAGGTAGCGGCCGGAGCCACGCCCCATTCCGGAGGCAGCAGTCATCAGGGTCACGCGGAGGCGCGCGTCGGCGACCACTCGGTGGGGCGGTACTTTGTGCAGCTTCCCGAGCAGGGCGCGCACACCCGCGTCAGCTACACCACCGACCTGTGGGGCTTCCACCCCGTCGTCTCCTACGGCTCCAAGAGCTCGTCGACGCGCTTCGCGTTCGGCGACCGCGCCATCGCCGCCCTCAAGGTCCAGGGCGCCGCCACCATCAACGAGCCCTCCACCGGCAGCATCGCCGGCAACCTGCCCGTCAGCATCGACTCGGCCGCCAAGGTTGGCAACGCCGACGTCACCGAGACCCTGCACAACATCCAGGCCGCCGGCAACCCTCCCATCCCCCAGCAGCTGGTCAAGGATCTGGACAACGCCAAGTTCCACCTGAACGCCGCCAACGGCGCCCCCGCCAACCCCAACAAGCAGGCCGTGCTCGCCCCCGCCCTGGTGCAGCAGGTCACCCCCGCCCCCTATTTGCACGCCGCCCCCGCCGTCGTCCACCAGCAGGTGCAACACCTCCAGCCCCAACCCGCCCCCGTCGTGCACCACGTTCAGCAGCCCTATCTGAACATCCACGAGCAGCAGAGGCAGGTCGCCCCCGTCGTCTACACCGAGTTCAACAGCAACAACCACGTCCTGGCCAACCAGCACCACCCCGTCAGCGTCACCCCCGCGCCCTTTGTCGTCTCCAGCACCCCCGTCGCTCACTACGCCTCCCCCACGCCCGCTCCGCAGCTGCTGCCCAGCCCCCACCCCGTCGTGCACTCCTCCGGGGGCCTCTTCACCGCCTCCACCCTGGCCCCGGCCGCCTTCAGCGTCACCCCCAGGCCATCCCTGTACCAACACGTCGCCGTCAGCAGCACCCCTCGCCCCATTTACGTCGCCGACGTTCAACCCCAGGTGCACCACGTCGCCGTTCCCCAGAAGGAAATCGTCCACGTTGACCGCCCCTACCCTGTCGAGGTGACCAAGTACGTCGAGAAGCCGGTTGAGGTGACCAAATACGTTGACCGCCCGGTTGAGGTTACCAAAATTGTTGAAAAGCCCGTTCACGTTCCTTACGAGGTCACCAAGTACGTTGATCGTCCTGTCGAAGTCACCAAATTCGTCGAGAAGCAAGTTCAAGTTCCCGTGGAGGTCACCAAATACGTCGACCGCCCTGTTCAGGTCACCAAGTACGTCGACAGGCCTGTGGAGGTTACCAAGTACGTTGATCGCCCCGTGCACGTCACCAAGTACGTCGACCGCCCTGTCGAGGTCACCAAATACGTGGACAGACCCGTCCAGGTGACCAAATTCGTTGACCGCCCCGTCGAAGTGACCAAGTACGTCGACCGCCCCGTCATCAAGCACGTGCCCGTTGAGAAGACGGTGGTCGTTCCCGGCCCTACCGTCGAGAAGCACATCCAGGTGCCCGTCACCAAGGTGGTCCAGGTTGACCGCCCTGTCCACCACGCGGTGCCAGTTCCCGTCCCCCACCCCGTGCCCTACGCCCAGTACGTGCTGAACGTGCCGTACCAGTACGGCGGCGGCTACGGCTACGGCGGCGGCTTCCAGGGCAAGGTCAGGAGCGAGTCTTACGCCGACGCCGCCCTCAAGCTGGAGGGGTGGAGGGCCAACGCCAAGGGCGCCAACCTTTACTCCGGATACGCCGGTGGCGCCAACCTGTACGCTGGAGGTGCCTCGAAGTACGGCCAGTACACCGAGGCCTACCTCAAGTCAGGGTTCGAGGGCGCTAGTCTCCGCACCGAAGGTGCCGACCTGAGAGGATTCAAGGTTAGCAAGACCCTGTACCCCGCCGCCGACTACCTGCCGCCCGTCGGCCCCACCAAGGTCACCCTCACCGTCGAGCCGCACTCGCACAAGATCGACTCCAAGGGCCGCACCCTGTGCGAGCTGCAGGGCAGCTTCAAGCCGCCCTTCGTCGCCTCGCGACTCCTCTCCACCTCCTACGACGACGGAACCTGGTAGAGAGGGTTCGTCTTTGTGTAATTAAGCATGTACCTTACATAGATAAATATATTGTACACCCCCTTCAAAAGGACTGACGGTCAAACAGTCTCCTCGATTAATTATTGGGAGTCGCGAACACGTGCGAAATTCTTTTCTCCTCTTTCCTTCGACTCATTTTTATATACATATAAATGCGATTATTTTTTTTTCGTATTCGCGCGCATCATCTCCAGTAGTTTTCCTCTTTTTCTCTCTGTCTCTCATCATCACGCGCACACGCATTGATTTTTATCTTATATTAGGATGTATTTTTAACTAACAAAGAAAGTACAGCGTCACTTGTGATAAAACGGACAAATTCATTAATGGCTTTTTGCTATCTTTTTATTATTTTTTATTATATTTCGCCGTCTAAGCCTCATGTAACACCCTCCATGTTGATTTTATCTTTAATTTGTATTAATTATTATCATAGGCCAATTTTCAAATAGAGTCAATATTGGTTGATTGTGTCATTATAGATATGTTAGTTCATTTTTTTGTAAGTGAGATGTCTTATTATTTTGTATATATACAAATTACGATGTTTAATAAAATTAAAGGAACCTCTTCATCAGCAAACACCTTTACTTCTTCATTATACTGCCTTTCTAAAATAAATCACCCTTGAATGTCATTTTTGATAAAATTAACAATCCAAATCATTTAATTATTTTGTTAATTCAAATCATTATTGAACAAAATATTGGTTGCTTAAAGGACCAATTAAACTGATAATAAGGTCAAAACCTTAAAATTAGATTTGACGAAACGTTGACAAAAGTTCAGTCTAATATAAATGTGGACTTTCCATTGTTCTCATAAAATTGATGATGATAGATTCCACACAGAAATAATTTATCAATCCAACGTTTTAACTGAGGTGATAGGCAACTTGCAGTTTATAGGAGCAAAGCCAGTTGCCTACTTACAGTGGTGTAAGATATTCTTTCACTGGCCCAACGTTGCATAGAGTTCACAACGGCAAACAAAACACAACTATTGCAATGCATAACTTCCTTAATTTTTAAAAAATGAGTTTAAAATGACTTTCAAAATTAACAAATTTAGTTAATTGTTTTTTAGCATTTTAATTTATTCTGGTGAGAATAAAAATTTAAATTTTAAAGGATTTCACTGGTCGAAGAGATCGGGCTTTTCCTCGTTGCAGAAAAATTGTTTTTAATCAAAAAACACAAATGGCTCTATTGTATTAGTCAGCGAGCAGCGCGTTTGCTCATGAAATATGTTGGTACTGGAATTTTGTTAGTTTTAAGTTTTTAATTTTTATGTTAAAATGTGGTGTTTTTTTTTCTATTTTGCTGATTTTTTGTATTTTTCTTGCTCATGAAACAGGGTCGCAGACCATGACCGGAACTGGTAGAGCCATTTGTGTTTTTTTGAATAAAAACAATTTTTCTGCAATGAGGAAAAGCCCGACATATTCATTTCCATGATCCTCTCCTCGAGTGTCAACTTCTTCAAACAAAATTACACCGGTTATTGGCAATTTTCAATTTTTGTATGGCAAAAGTGATTATCTTTGTTATTTATTGACAGTCAGATTTGCTCAATTAATTTATTTGAAAATGCTTATAAAAATGCTGATTTCACATTGACGCACGTTGAGCGTTTCTAAATGGATGCGCGAAGAAAAGCAAACATCTAGTCAGGAATCAAAAACTTGTTCATAACGAGATCTATCTGAATTGACTGTGGATGCATGACACACAAATTCGGCTGCTGGACATTGAACTGCCGCGGTTAAATACGTGTCCGTCCGTCATAGTGAAAGCTCTTTGTGCAGCGGAACCGGCAGAGAGCAGCAGCACCTGATGCTGCGCATTCATACATACAATGGCACACACACACACGTTGCCATACTCGCTTATTTATTAATTTGCACCCGCAATAAAAGCGCCCAATCTCGCTTTCTCTTATCTTCGTTGGCTTAATCTTCATTTTATATTCAAATTTGTATTCTTTAATGAATAATATCTGTATTTTTGTTGAATTTCCTTTTATATTTGAAAATATGTAAAATATTTGAAAAAAATGTCTTATTTATCTATTTAATTTAATATTGTCTCATTTGATAGTTTTAAATGAATAAAAAGTTTTTTCTTTGTAAATTCAGTAAACTTTTACTAGGACTATTGCTTCTGTTTCACAAAATAATTTATTCATTTTATTAATTCAACTAAAGCTTTGCTTCCATATTTTTTCTTAAATGTTTTTAATAATTGTTTTTAAACTTGAGATTTTTATTTTCAGGAAATATTTCCTAACTCTTGATCAAAATAAAAAATAGCTGCCGATTTATCCTTTCCTATGTGGAATGCGAATGGAAAGCAATAGATTTCCTCTAGAAGCGCGATTCATCCATTCAAATGAACTTCCGTGATTTGCGGTAGGAAATTCGTCTCCACGCAATTTCACTCCGCAAACCGGAAGGAAGATTCTTGGCGACTCTGGCGTAAATTTTTAATGGTCAAACAACTTGGAAACATGCAAATCACGGTTTTAATTTCTCCTCCGACAGATGCAATTACAGCTCTAATTTTCACGTGGCCAATAAAACTTTTCAATAACACACAAAAAAAATCACTTTCCTTTTAACAAGTTTGCCAAAAACGTATAGTTGATTGATTGCGCGTCGTCGAGCCGAGGATTAATTATGCCTGACGACGACGCTCCCTAATAACCTGTTCGTAATAAAGGGCGTGACAGCGGCAGTAATTTGCCGCCAAAGCCTAGCTCGGGATTGTCATCTCTCGGCAAATTCCATTATACTCAACGTGCGCCTCGCTCGTTCGAGGGACACTTTTGGTTGCGAATTAATTTGTCGCCCGGCAGACACGAGACGTCGTAAAACGATGGACGTGCAGTTAATTAGTGCAGGGACAAGCGTGGTTCATTTCAGTTTTCAATCAATTCGGGCAATTGAATTATGCCAAAATACATTCTTGCAAAATTTAATCAAAATTTGATGAATTTTTCAATAAATATATTAATTTATATCCTAAAATATATATTTTTTTTAAATAATAATGATTGATAATGGAAAAATCTTGAAGGAATTGTTGATTTTCATTCTTTTTTTTATTATAAGCAATTTTTCTCTCATTTGGAGCGGCTGTTTGTTGCAGAAAGTGGTACATAATCGAAGAAAGTGAAATAGCGGGCTATTATATTTGCGTGTTACTCTGCAAGTTCAAGATCGCTGCCCGGCAATGATCCACTTTTCCTTCGCATCGAATGCCCACCGGCTGTGCTCGCGTTATATTTTATTCCAACAGCTGACACAAAGAGCAAATCGCGTCCAGTAAACCATGGTATTGCACGCACCAAATATTCCAACACCTACTTGCATTGTCAGCGCCGTGTCTTTCCGTCAGCGAGTTTTATTTTTGTAAAGCAGATAAACAAATGCTCATCAAACCTGCAAATGATATCATAATTTCTAAAAAAGCTTCAAATCTTTTAACAAGTGAAGAAAACTCACGTCTTAATTGTTTATTTTATATACAGTAAAACATTTTTTATAATCCTATATTTAAAAATTAATTAATTGAAAATTCCAAATATATTTAAACTTTTTATTGCCTATTTATGTAGCTTGAATAATGACACGCCTGAAACTAATTATTATTATTTTAATGAATTTAAACCAAGCGAGTTATCAGAAAGTTATTCTTATAAACAGAAAAGCACGTAATTCTGAATTTCCCACACATTATTCATTTTTCAAGATAATCAGAATTAATCCGGAAATAATTTCAAACGCTTGTGAGATTAAGAATTGTGACAAATTTATTGCTCTCAGCGAAAGCCACGAATTATAATCACAAGTTTAGATATTTTCTTCCGTGAAAACTTGAGGCTCTAAAATGAATTTGTACAACAAAGATAAATCTGCACAAATGTTTTTCATGAGAAAAAGAAAACGAGAGTGAAAGAAAATCACACGCTTCTTCTGTAGAAGAATTTGAATTAATGCGCGCAGAGCATTTCTATCTCGATCTGCTCCATAAAAACAACATAATGGGACATAATCACTCTCAGGAGAGACTCGTCGCAGCTTTTCCCTGATTATCAATCAATTATCATATAATTACATATTTGCGATCAAGGTGCTTTTCCCAGACGCGGAAAACGTATTTTTGTTTCTCCTTTGTGAGCAATCAACCTTGCACTTGAGAAGATTGTTGTAGAGAAACGTTTCGTCCGCAAATTGTATGAAAATATTATCAAAGGTGTCCGTACTTAATTCATGTGCAAGTCACGCTCGAACGTGGATGCAGCTCGCGCGCAGGAGGGAAGAGCCAGGCTGAAGAAGAAAGTTCATCCCTGCTATATAAACGGCCGAGTGCAGCCGAGCTGAACACTTTGCTCGCGGCGTCACCTTCGCCAACTCTTACTTTTTCTGTGCGTCTCCAAATTTCGGCGCTTCTGGACCATTTTTTCTTTTTAATTGACCGGCTCATCAGTGAAAGAGCAGACGTGCCGCGACCAGCCGCTCTCCAACACCATGTTGGCACAGGTGCGTGCAAAACATTCATTATAAAACATTATTAACTTATTCGTACATATATGATTATCTATTAATTAAAAATAAGTAGACTAAATTCCGTTTGCTTCATTATTTTAGAAAGAGGGAAAGTTGATGAGAAAATTATTTCATGTTTTTTAAGGAATCTTCTTTTTTGAAAGTTAAAGTCTTTTAAAACACGATTAAATTAGAATATATGGGCTACTTTTTGGGTTTAAATATCAGTTTTTAAAAATTTGGTCATTCTCTTTGATTAATTTATATAAAATAAAGGACAATATTTTAATTTATTTATTTATTTATTTTAGAGAAAACAATAAAGTTTATGATGATAATGATTTTCAAAGAACATAAAAGTCAATTTTTCTTTCGATAAAATTATTTTCTTTGTGAGTTTCTTGTAAAATTGTTACAAATCAAATAAGAATAACAAGAATTATTTAACAAAAAACCTATTTAAAACAAGTTTCTAATTATTCCAGAAATTCGAAATTCAAAACTAATAACTCTAACCTGTTGTTTTGTAAAAGTCATAAAAAGTTATATTTATTCTGATTTATTCCAAATTGGAAATGACAAATTTGACGAAATTTGAAACTCTCTACTCAAAGCCCAAATTGATTATTATTTGATGGAAATTAAAGAATCAACAATTTTTTGCATTGCTTTGATTGCTTTTTATTTTTCAGAAATTTTTCTTTGTCACAATTTTGGCGACCCTTGTGGCGTCAACCCTGAGCCACCCCTTCGGCGTGCACTACGACGAGGATTATGTAGATGAGGACGAGCCGATGGACCCACCCTCGCCCTACAACCGCCCCACCCCTAACGGTTTCTCCAAAAAATCATCCCCGGCGCCGCCAGTTTTGTCCTACCCGACCGCCTTCGAAGGGGCGCAGTCGGCCAAACTAACCCCGCCCGCCCTCCTGCAAAACCAGAAGTTCAAGATCCCCGAGCCCAAAGCGGAGGTCAGGCCCATCTACGTCCCCCCACCCTCGTCCAAACCCCCCACCAAGAAGGTCGAACTCGTGCAGGACGAGCTGCCGTACGCGCCCACGGTCAACGTCACCCCCAAGAAGAACAAGAACGCGCCCAACTTCGTCACCCCCCTCCCTCCGGCCACCCCTAAGAAGAGCGTCCAGGTCATTCGCCCCACCACCTTTAGACCTCCGATCAAGCACAAGTCCAAACCGGCCCAGAAAAGACCCGCCGTTCCCGCCAAAAGCAACCCCAACGCACCCCCTCCAGGGAAAAAGATCAGACAGTCGTCGTCGATCGTGAGTCCCAAGTACGCGCAGCACCCCTCGCACACCCTCGCCTCGTTCCCGCACTTCCTGCCCACGGTGGAGCCGACCTACCAAGTGGTGCCCGCGGCCCAGCAGGAGTACAACATCGCCAGCATCGGAGGCGTCGGACTTTTGAGCGGAGGACCCGTTCTATCCGGAGGTCATTCTGATGATGACGACGGTGAAGGGTCGTATGGACACCATCAGGTAATATACAAATTAATTTTTATTATTTTTTGCCACAGATAGAAAATTTAATATTCAATCAGAGATCATAATTATAATTTTTTAATAACCAATAAAATTTGAATTGAAATTGCTACAATTAACAAATAAAAATTTAAATCTCGGCCATGTCTGGGGTTAATATGATGCAGTGGAATTGTTTTTATAATAATTTTTTTTTTATTAATACAGTTTTCAAGATTAGTTTTCAATTAGAACTATTTTATTTTAAAATTAATCAATTTAAAAAATTATCATAGTATGAAAATTTTAATGGAAAATAAACTTGTGGATTATTTTAATTTTTAATCCAAAACAACATTCATTAAAATTATCTTCCTTCATAATCTTACTTTTATAAAGTACTTATTAGTACTGGTTATGAACAATCCAGTTCAATCTGTTTTAATTCATATAAAGCTCAAATATAATAATGGAATTCGTCTTGGCAGCAATTTTTCATAACTTTCTGTGCGATTGTCGGTGAGAGTGGCTGCATCACTTTAATTGTGGGAGTCAAACATGCAATTACAGTGTAAAATAGCTGCTCTCGCTGCACAAATGCACTCATTCAGAGCAAAAAACGATTTCACGCCATCCAGTCTTTTCTTTCTTTCTCGAGACAGCTCATTCCGAATTCACAAATTTGGCGGTAGGATTTGCATGAGGCGCAAAGTGAATGTTTTCAAAATTATATAATTTCCGTCGGCGTGAAAGGTGAGGAAGGAAGCTTCCGTTAATTGAATGTTTTGCGCCGACCTATTGTTCGCCAAAATGAGTTAATTAAATTATATTCCACTTCCACTCCGCACTGGAAACAATAGGCGAAGAGATTTTCCGCATTTGCAATTCATATAAATGTCTGTGTCTCAAGTGAAATTTGGTGCTTAAATATATTATTCATTTGATGCGTTTTCTCCCAAAAATTTACAAGAATTGTTACATATTTTTAAATTAAGTATCAATTTTGAGGTGATAATTTAATTTCTTATTCTTTTTAAAGCTTTTAATTAACAAAATGTTGAAATAATATTTTTGTTTTAAGCTTCTTTAATAAATCTAGTTAAATTGTTACATTAAAAATAAAAATTATGAGAAAATTACTCTAATATTAATTAATATGATCAAATTAATTCAATTAAATTGAAATAAGACATGCATTAATTAATTCAATTTTGCCCTAAATGAATTGCATGAGTTTTTAAAATTAGAGTTTTGTTTTATGTTTGAAGATTAATTCATCTCAGCATTAATTAACAATTGTTATAACATAAATTTTAATTGATTTAAAATTTTTTGTTCGGACACAGGACGAGGCGAGTGGAAAGGACGCCAAGTACGAGTTCATGTACCGCGTGCAGGGGGACGACAAGTACGGCAAGGAGGAGGAGGCGGAGGGGGCGGCGAGCGACTTCGGACACTCGGAGGCCCGCGAGGGTGACCGCACGTGGGGGCGGTACTTTGTGAAGCTGCCGGACGGCCGCTTGCAGACCGTGCGCTACTGGGCCGACCACACCGGCTACCACGCCGAGGTCGTCTTCCAGGGCGAGGCGCACCACCCCGACGAGCACCCCCACCAACCCTCCTACTCGAACCACGCCCCCGCCTACGAGCAGGGCCCGGTGACCTTTGGCCCGCCGCACAGTTCGCAACCGGCGTTCGTCGCCACCAACTTTTACGCGGCCGCCAGCGAGAACGTCGAGGTGCAGAAACCGAAGCAAAACTCGCCGCGATGAGTGGCTTTTTCAGACAAACAATGAGTGTGACAATGGGTGTGCGTGACACCGCGTAATTATCCGCACCTTTTACTCGCGCAGAATGAATGATACACATTACTTTTTTTCATGTCACACTCGCGCGGTTTTTCTCCCGAAATAGAAACACGTGAGTGCGTTATTTATTTTTTTGCATGTACAACTTTTACACAAAATATTAATAAATTCCAGAGAAGTTTCTCTTGGTGAATTTTGCTCCCGTTGTTTTAATTATTAGCTAGCTAAGTTGTAATTAAACAAAATTGTTCTCGCACCGTTCCTTTTTTCCGAACTGTTATTAAATATGTACACGTGTCTGTTTGAGGAAAGGTGATAATTGCTAATTCGCGAGAGTGACACTAACCACAATTAACCTCTCGCGTGACAATCTTTTGCAATTTTGAATTAATTTTGGAGTCTTATGCTGCTTCAGAAGTTTGAAACAAAAGATTTGAAGAATACTTTTTATTTCAATTTTGAATAAAGAAATGAAAAATTTCGCCAAACCTTGTATTGAAATTGTGTTGGTAGTTTTTTTTTTTTATTAAAATTTTTGAATAAAAGAAAAAAGAAGAGAAAATTGAAATCTTAAAACACAATTAATTTTTATTCTGAAAACAAAAAATACATATTTCGATCGTTATTTTCTCCGTTTTTCCCCATGCATAAATTTATAAGATTCGTATCAGTAATTTATGCTATATTTTCGCGTCATTGATCCAATCCATATAATTTGTTATGTCGGTGAAGAGCGCGTAATATTTTGGATTGCAAGTGGAGAATTTTCCTTCGTTTACGTCAACTCTCTTGACTTTACCAAAGCTGACGACGCCGCGCAAAAAGTACCGGCCAAATTCACGAATGTAAAATCCGCCACCACTATCTCCTTTGCAAGCTCCAGTTTCTAAACAAAGAAATTCTTTTTAATTCTTTCAAAGAATTTAATATGAATTTTTTGAATTTAAAATATTGATTTACTAATTCAAAAAAATTTAATTTTAATATTTTTATAATGATGAATATTAAATTTTTTGAAGATTTAACATCAATAATTAAAAAAAAAAAACTAACGAGTTTGGGGAAACCCAGCGCAAAAGTTTTCTCCGTGATGCAAATTGACAGAGAAAAAGGGCCTGCTGCTCTGATAGCAATCCTGGTATGAGACAATTTTCAAATCCGCTCTTTGCAGAATATCCGGGAACGTGTGGTTGGACGTGCGGCCCCAGCCGACCACCTAAATTACAATTAATAAATAAAAATGAAAACAATATTTAAAATTCTCACCGTGCCGATCCTGCTGGCGATTTTGTTGAGGTCGTAGTCGGAATTCCACAGACAAATCGGCCGCACCTTAGGATTGAATTCTACATTGGCAACCAGAATTATCAGAGCGATGTCATTCCTGTAATCGCCCCTGCCGTGATTATATCCAGGGTGCACCAACAAATCCTTAGCCTGCAACAATTGCAGGGTAAATTATAAAATTGTAATTTGTTGTTCCTTCCAATTAATTCAGGGGGAAATTTTAAATCTCTAAAAATTCAAGGACTTATTTTCATATATTTAATATGCATTTTGTGCAAATAAAATGATAATAATTTGGTACGTCTTCCAAACTCATGACGAAGAGTTACCTTCATTTTCTGCCGTGATTCTTCATGCTCTTTGGATTTGTTGTTCATTCCAAGCGTCACTTCCAACTCAGAAGCAGTGAACCGAGTTTCAAACTCACCGAAAATTCAATGCGCAGCTAAAAAAAATATATAATCTTCTGATGTAAATATGTTTTATATTCACCTAGCGTGAATACAATGATTTCAATATAATTGTTCAAATCGGTTCAAATTATAAAAGCTCTTCTGCAAATAACTGGACACATAATATGAAATTTTCCATTTTAATATTTTGAACATACAAAAAGGAGGACACAAATAATAATTTGATTGAAGCTTTCAATCCTAAAAGAAACATAAATGATTGAAATATTTAGAGTTATAATCATTGAATAATCTTCCACACCCTTGGCGAAACCATAATTTCATGATGCAGTAAAAGTTCCCTTACCAGTGACAAGCGTCCTTTGCGAAATGAGCGTCGCCCCGCAGAAATTCAAAATTTCATACAAATCACTGAAGAATGAGAGACTCGCATGCCAAGGGAATTGGCCACTGTCCGCATTTTGGCCACCGGCAACAAAACTGATGCGCTCTTTTTCATCTTCATCGTCCTCTTCCCTTTTCCTGCGAATTCGTCTGGGTGGTTGATGCCCGCAGTTTTCGTAGCTTTGCTTTTGCCCGAAATCTAAACAGAATTATTTTTTATTAAATATAAATAATACGGCACATGGGCGCAAAACCTATCCTCTTTTTCAAGTCGGGAATTTGTGGAAACACTGCCAGATTGGTGGACGCAGAAACGATTTTCCATGTGAAAGGGAGCACGTCAAGCCATCTCGCAGCACTTTCAATTCTTCGTAGATTCAGTATTCCTCGTAAATAGAAGCGACCCCCTCGATTTATTAGAGTAAAAAATGTTCCAACTGCAAAATAATTAAATGAGTGCATCCCCAAGATTATTATTATTTTTAAAATTCGGCGAACAATACGTAAGAATTAAGCTGTGGCGTTTGGCTTGAAAAAGGATTTTACATAAAGTGGGTGGAACTACTTAGATGCAAAGTGCACCCTTCATTCTCAATAGAATTAGAGCTGACAATAATTTAAAACGTGAATTTGGGCCTCTGATTTATTTAAATTTAAAATTTTGCACTAATAAAAATGGAACAATCTGTAGTTCTTCCGCCAATTTCTTGGGGACTTTTTTTATAACAATTATACAAAAGCCACTCCGTAATTAAAGTGCATTTTTAGCAATTAAATTTGAAGTTCATTCACCATATGTTTGCAAAATGTTTAATTTTGGCTTTTGTTATTATACTGTAAAATTTGGATTAGGTTAAAGCTCACTCACTCGCGGCTCCTCTCCGTCGATGAAAAGCGCTCGCTGCCGAAGATACTATTGTGCATATCGCGTTTCCATAAAGCTCACACTCCCAGCTTTGCATTGTATTTCCGTAGCAGCGGCCCTCGGGTAATATATCTGCCATGATCAATTTGCCCTGCAATACCATCAAATTATTAGATATTTCTTAATATTTTCATTACTCCTCTGTATTATTAAAATTTTGAAATATATTCTTGCTGTCGGAAGGATTCTGATCTAGCTTTACTGTAAGAAGCTAACCTCCATGTTGAAATGGTACCAGATATCCTGCGCGTTGTTCTGGTTGTCATGACCCCACAAGCAGACGGGCTTCAAACTAGGATTGAAACTCAGTTTCTCAACTTTCCACACAAAGAATTCCTCGACGAAATAACTGCCAAGCTCGATTTTTACTATCTTCGCGTCGAGCACCTTCAAATAATTTATCACAAAAGTTACTATAATAGAATTTTAAGAATTTCAAAATCACAGAAATTCACCTTTTTGCTTTGCAAGCCTCGTCTCCCAAAGCAATTGTCTCCGTTTTGAACGCATTCGCCGCTAAACATTTGTATTATTTCATCTCGCTTTACAAATGCTGAGTATTCAGTGGTGCATTTCGCTGCAAGCAAAGATGATTAAATTAATATGATTCAATATTTGTCAAACCCTAGCATTACGCGTGATGACAGTTCGCTCGGACAAAATTAAACCTGGGCAACCAAATGAACTGCCACTGTGCAAAAAAACTAGCCACGGAGCGATGTCGTCTTCGTTATTTCGGTCCCACTTGCCGCAGTCTTTGGTACTCAAATTCTCGTCATCAAAACTGAAGACTGAAAAATTTGCAACAGGGAAATAGCTTGACATGAAAGAAGAAGGAAATCCTGCGATTTTTGCATACAAATGTTAAAACTGAAAATAATTAAAATTGTATCATAAATAAATATGAATTATTTTCTGCACCAAAATGGCTTTTAATTTTCTAAAGGAAAATTATTATTTTATTAATTCCTTTGATCTGAATGCTCTACTGACTATTTAACTAGAAAATTCGCAATTGAACCAAATAAAATGTGTTTGATAATCAATTTGAAATTTAGAACGCACTTACCAGGTGCAGCAATTAAAGATTTGTGTTTGCCGTAATTCCAGCAATCGGTCATTTTTATTTTCTATAAAAGAAGGAAGCGTTTTAAGTTAGAAAAGTGTGGCTACTTGGATTTATTTTGAAACAAAGTTCCATAAAAAATATTACAGCAATAACACCACTTTTGGCTTGCAAAAAGTGAGTGTTTCTCTCGTTCGAATTTTTCCCCAGACACAAAAGATCATCAATAACAAAAATAGGGTCAGAATTTTTCAAATTTTGGTTCGAAACCAAAATAATAATTAAGATGTGCACGAATAACAGCATAAAAAAAGGAGAGTCAGGAATCGTCTTGCTTTATTTCCTTTATTTTTTTGGATATAATATTTTGAAACACTGACCTCCAGATTCGCACCAACAATCACAGCATATCCAAAAGCGGGAAAAGTGAGCAGCCAAATCCATCCGATCAAGTTATAATTCATCCTGAATTAACTTAAAGTCTGCAGGCTAAAGTTTTTTTTTCTAAACTGCATGAAAAATTAACGAATTTGCAGATTTAGATGGTTAAGAATTATTGATAATTAGCGTCGCTCCATCAACACGACCAAAAATCAAATTGTTCAAAATAAAGAAATTGCGACAATTTTAAGACGTGGAGTACTCGAGCGATGCGCCCAAACTGCTGATGATATGATGGGAGTCCCAGTGGCGAAGGTCATGAGACGCCGGCCTCGCAATCGACATATGACCTCAAGCAGCTTTGAGAAAAACAAGTTGTTAGAAAAAGTAGCTGAAAATAAATCGCAGAACACTTGGCGGAGGAAAAGGAAAAATTAATGCAAAATAAAAATTAATGTTGTTAAAAGATGATCAATTAATTTTGAGGAACGAGAAGCACGAGGGAAAAGTTTGAGTCGCACAATATACGATTATACACTATAAAAATTTGCATAATGATTTTCTAATAATTCAACTGATTTAATATTAGAGAAATTTTCATTTCTTTTATCCGCAATCGAAATTTTCACCAAACGCCCAAAGCTAAAATAAAAGACGCGGAATTCTTCACCGCACAAATTTCGCACCTTTTGGCAGTAAATTTTATAAATTATAGCGTGCGTCTTCATTAGTAGTTGATTGGCCATTATATTGTGACGCTAATCAAGTGTTTTGTATAATTTTTCCGTTATAAAACCTTGAGAGATCGATTTGTTTTCACCGGATTCGTATAGCTTGAAGCTTCATTAATGAATTTCAAAACAGGTTTGTCAGAGAAAGAATCGCCTGACGAGAGTAGCTCCAAAATTAAATTTGGTCTCACTTGCAAATGGGGGAAGAAAGCAAAAGTAAAAAGTCGCAACTTTTTGCGCGTTGGCCTCTCCAAGCGGATTTTCCTCTCGTCATAATTTCGTGTGTCGCCGGCAATAAAATCAATCAAAAGAAGAAATTTGTTTTTTATCGATAGAAAAATCAGAGGCGCTGCTGGTATGATATAAATTATAACTAGTAAATGATAGGGGAGCCTCCGTTTAATTGAGTTGTTAAAGAGTGGAAAGTGAAATGCGCCCGTAATTATATGCTTGTTTTATTTTACTGATGAGGGTGGGCGCTTGAAATCTCTCAACTCCTCTCGTTTATCATTCGCCGGCGGCTCCGCTTGAAAGGGAAATTGGTTCAAACTGTTAACATTTTATTTCTAGAGAGTGGTTTGACTCGTTTTAAGATAGATACACGCACAGGTGCCGTCAATTATTCATAAGGAAGAAAAAAAATTAGAGCCCGTCTAGTAATTTGAAAGTTGCTATGAATAGATTATTTGATAGCTCATAAAACGTCACACTTGACTTGATATCCTATCGCTTCTTATATTCCAGGGAAGAGGAAAGAATGAATTTAATTTCTGAAAAGAATTAACACGTATGAAGGAAGTTTAATATGACGAATACAATTATTATTTAGAAATCGTGGTACAAATATTTAATTATTTATTTTGTGTGAAGATATTTAACATTTAGAGTTAAAAATAAATGGTTAAATAAAAATTAATTTAAAAATAACGAAATAAATATCTTCACTTAGAACTTCTTGAAATTTGTGGTTAAATTAATGACATTAATTTAATGTATTTTATAATTAATATTATTTAATAAAATTCCCATTAAATATAATAAAAACAATAATTTTGTACTTTTCAATAAATATAATGTAGCTAATTCAAATTATTCTACATCAATTGCTAAATCTGCAGGAAAACTTTTGATCTTAATCTTGAATTTATCCTTTTTTCAACATATAGTTTGATTTTCGCCCGCAGCATCTAGTAAAAGAGGCGTTATGATTGTGAGAGATGAAGAGTGTGGAGAGATGGTTCCGCTGCAACAAGGCGAAGCCCCTTTCCTGCTCTTCCACCACCTTCCTCTGATAACCGCGGCCCGTCGGTCCTCTAATTGCGCTCGTCGGCTCACGTGCGCCTCATTCCAGGGCCAGCTGCTCTCCGCTCGAAATCGCCTCTCTCCAATTTTATAATTCATCTCTCCTTCGCCAGCTGCACCGAATATCGCACCGGCATGAAAGTCTATCAGGTAATTATTCTTTATCGTTTCATACGTACGTCTCTGTTAGGCAGTAATTCTCATTTGCGCGCTTCGCAGCACCCACTTTTCCAAAATTATACTCATTCGTAAATTAAATTCAGCAGATAAAACCATGAAATTCATAATTATACTGATCAAACATAAATAAAATCTAAATTTATTACGATTTTTAAGTTTCGTTATGTTTCTCATTTCTTCTTTAACAGTAATTTTTCTGTTCTATTAAAATTACTGATATACAAAATTCGTTCGTGCTAGATTAAAACACACTTTTAATTGGAATTTCATGAATATTTCAAAATGTCTCCTGTAATTTAAGTTTTGACTGGGCATAGAAATAATCAGAACGTCCAGAGAATCAATGCTTTAGTAAATTGAGAAAATTATTAAATTAAATTTGATTTCTGCTCCTCTTTATGGACGTTTAATGTGCCAACGCAATATAATTTTTGTTAGTTAAAATGTTAAAAATTTATCAAAACTAGGAAGGAACAGCGAAAAGCACACGTGAAGTACTTCCTACTCGGATAAAGATTTAATATTCATAAAGTTTAGCATAAAATATTAAAATTATAAAAGTCTAATGATCTTTTATAATGATAGTTTCTGATTAGTAATAATTTAATTACTTATTTTTACTGAAAGTATCTATTTTGAACCAATGAATTTGATATAATTAAGATTTAGATATCTCAAATTAAACGATTGTAAAAAAATTGGTCATTATAAATGAGAAATTAATTACTAACGAATTTACGTAATATTTCATTTCCAAATTCACATTAGTTCAAAATACTTGTACTTTTGTGTGTTTTTACGCATTTTCACATATTATATTTGAATTAATTTATCACAGAATGTTCTCTTCCAAGTTATTTGCTTCATATTTAACAAATTCTTTTCTCAAATAAAAATATATTTTCTAATTGATTTATTATTTTATTTGCAGTATTTTGACAGTTTTTCACTTAATTTTCAGGGCCTAGGTCACTTGGCGCTGGTGTTTGTTGTCATTTTAACTTTGGTGCCCGACGTATTTGGCAAAAAGGGACCGAGGAATCAGCACAGAAGCCGCCCGCCGTCGCCCAATCTCAGCCGAAACAAAAAAGTAAGACAAAATTTTAAATATATAAATTAAGGGAAATAACGGGATTTGTTGGATTTTGTTTCAGGTGAAAAGGCACAATTTGCAGAGGCCTGTGAAACCTGTTTACCATTCTCCGCCCATCAACGCGTTCTCTTTGAAAGATTTGCAGAAAGACGAGTGAGTATAAAATTAATTAATTTCCTTTAATTTAAAAAGCACAGAAGTTGTAGATCAGGATTTAAATGGGAAAATAATTTGATTGAAAATTGAAACGGTTCCTGCAATTTACAGAAAAAACTTCTCTATATAGGAGAAAAAACAAAAAGGAGAAATTGTCTTATTTTTGTATAAAACTTTCTGCTCTTCTTGATTTTATTGGTGCCTTTTCTCTAATCTTCATAAGGCATATAATAAAAGTCTATAATTCCATTACACGTGTAATGAAAGTTATGGCACACTAAAAGTAGTAAAATCACGACCAATTTGGCAAAATCAAAAGTAATCACCGCCGATTTTTACGAGAGTTCCACTTTTCCTCTTCCAGGCTATATTTATTTGCACGCAATTAAAACGAGCAGGAGAAGCGTTTCGCTTTCAAATGTCCACTGCTTTATTATCCATTTCACTCGAAAAGCGGCGCCCATCACGCACGCTGACTTGGCGCTTTTCAGTAAAAAAATAATATTTACAAAGATTTGCATCTCATCGTGGAGGAAAAAAAATGTCGTCGGCAAACAAACACAAAGGAATTTCACTGGCGGGGAAAAATTTCTCTGCAAACCGCATCTCATCTCTCTCTGTACCATGGCCTGCAGATTTATCATCTCGATTTAAATTAGTCTCGTTAATTCGTGGCCTACTTTTCGCGCTCACGTACGAGATTCACTTTTCAACCAGAAACGATTATGGTGCGTTATTTTTCTTGTCACGCTTCACGTGTAAGCAGACGCGTTTCTTTTTTTAGAAGAAAAAAAATTCCATCTTGATAAGACAAGATGCGTGTAATTGTCGTTGTCGGCCATGTAATTACGTGGCGGCATTTTTTAATTCGAAAATAGCCACTTTTCGTTCAACGATACCATCATGCGTGTAATTAATTTTTTCGCAAAACTGCATCCGTTTTAATTTGTCTCTGCATGCGTGGAAGCGCCTTTTAATTGTAATGAAATCTTCCACGTGTTTTAAGGAAAAACAAAGGCGTCAAAAGTTAATTAATTTGTGACGACAACGGATATTTTCTCATTGACAGCTCAAACAAAAGACTATTTTTAAACAAATAATTCATTAAGAAAAATATACATAAAATGAGCTGAATTTAAAGATTTTTATAAACCTAATAAGTCTCTCTTACAATTTCAAGACAAAAAGTTGAAGAAAATTGGCAATAAAAATAAATATTTTGTTTCTATTTAATTATTTTTCTACTTCAATTTCTTTTATTTTTTGTTAAAATTTTATTTAAAATTGTGTCAAACTAATTACACGTCATACAATAATTTGGCTGAAGGAATTAATCAGAAGATTATTCAACAGGGCATTTTAAATGGCGATTTTGTCTTCAAATTGTATTTAATGATTTTTGCTTTATTTTACTTATTTTACTGTGAAACAAATTGATTCAGTTTTTATTGTTTAACAATTAAACTTTTTTAAATCAAATAAATATTGTGCATTTAATTTTCAATTTTGTTACTAAAAATCTCGGCGAAGTTGATAGAAATTTAAAAGCTTCTGCAGTTTAAATTGTTCTCACTTAATCTAAAAAGTGAAGTGCCGCACTGCACACTCCATTATTCATGAACCAAGTCTAATTTGTCGCACGCAGTAATTCATTTGCACTCTCCCATATTAATCATCGCTTTTCACAAAACAAAGCGAGCAAGAAGCGGCTTTCGCGCGATTATGCTTCTTATCTTTTCCCACGTGAATTTATGCGCACCATTGTCAAGGCAGCCACAAACTTTAGCACTCTTTTCACCACAAACACGAATTTTTATAATTGCTTGTTTGCAAATTTTTACAAACTGTCCAAGTTTGACAATTATTTACTCACAAATTTTAATCAGAAACAAATTCATTTGAATCTCAACAAAGAAAATTCTTTATAATTTCATGAATTTGTCTTCTTTTTAAAAATAATTGTAGCCAAGAAGATGTAATTGATCTAAATAAATTTCAATTCTACTATCAATTCATAATTTTGTTTGGAATTTTCTGATTAAATTATTATGATTTGCTCACAAAATATGCTAAATGAAATTAGTTTTTGTCTTTAAGTTACATTTAAAGGTTAAAGTCTCAAAACAGTCTATTTTAGCGGTTCCCAAATTTTGTTCATTCCTAATCTACTTTTGATGTTATCTAATCAGAAACATTCTTCATTGGAATGTATTTTTCAACAGAAATAATTAAATAGATAATTAATTAGAATTAGTTGGGACTTTTGCATCTAAATAAAGATTTAGCTTTAAGTTTAAAATAATATCTAAACTTTTAAAAATCAATTGAATTTTTAAAAAAAAATTCCACTTTTCCTGCACACCAGTAAACCTTTGCTTTGCAGGGAAGAGGACTTTCCACCCGCACCCCTTCGTTCACCCTCGCACTTCTCCAAACCCCTGGTGCAGGACGGCTCAAACGAAGAACTGTATTTCGCGTCGCTGAAAAACCAGTTCGCGCCCAACTTTGGTTCCGACTACTTCAGCCCCAACCCCAACGTCTTCAAGGGTCACAAACCCCGCCCCGCACCCCCCAAAAAGGGCAATTTCGGTCTTTACGGTCCTGATTTCGGCAGCATCACCGAGCTCAACGACGACGACGACAAATTCGAGGACAATCAAGACTTCTTCGCCAACCAGTACCAGAAACCGTACCAAACCTACCACCACCCCACGACCACGGTCAAGCCCAAACTTCTGGTGCCGACCTACGCGGCCGTCAAACCGGCAAACATCAGACACCTGGGCAGCAGTGGATACGGATACCCTAGCAATAATTACCAGCAAAACAACGACGATCATCAGGTCAGTTCATTATTTATTATCAATTAAAGGAAATTTTAAGACTTTTTCTTTTAAAAATTTTCTTGTTTCTTCCTATTTTTTAAAAATTACTAAATTAATATTCTTTCAATCTTGCACTTTTTCCATTTATTGTTTTATTCTAATTGTATGATTTAATTGAATTTATTTATTTTTCTGAATAATAAACCAGTAAAATTTCAATTCCTTTCATGCACGTGAATTTTAAACTTGTTTATTTTCTTATTCTTTCTCACAAGGATTATGTACCGAAGGACGCGCACTACAGTTTCGGTTACGAAATCTCCAACCCCGGAGGCAAATACGGAAAAGGGCCGCAGTTGTTTGGGCACGGCGAGCAGCGCGACGGGGACGTGACCAAAGGTCGGTACCACGTGTTGTTGCCCGACGGCCGGCACCAGAAGGTCGCCTACACCGCCGACCACTCGGGCTACCACGCGCACGTCTCCTACTCGCAACACGGCTACCACGGACGATAAATTTTTTCGAAAATTTACTTGCAAAAGACTGTCAGTCAGCCAGAGATTCCATTTATAATTATATTTTATGTATTTTTGCATTTTTTTTTTATTACCAAGAGTTGAATAATCAAATCCAAAATAGAAGCTAATGAAAAGTTTAAGATGTCGCTTGTTGACTGGATCCTATGCAACCTGAACTCACAGAGCGGTTGAACCTGTAGCCTATGTGTCAGGCGTTGAATCTTGTTAAAAGTTGTTGCTATTAATTTGTTTTTTATAGTTAAGTTTTGTGTATGAAGATGTTATTTTTTTTTTACAAAGCTATAAAATATTAATTTTAAGATGTAACAAAAAATTAAAACTGCTTTAATTTTTGTTCTCCTTGTAAGAATTGCAATGTTTTATTAAAAAAAAATATGTATTGTTTCAGCATGAGTAAAAATGATTGTTTTGCATGAAATTACCAAAATACCAACTTGACTAAAAGAAGCAAAAAAAAAACGATATTAATTCCTCCGCAAATAATCAATGAAATATTCTGAAATCGCCAAAGAATGCTAAAAATAGAATTGGCCAATCAATCATTTGCTTGTTCCGATTACGAAGAGCACCATTTCTTCTCCTCTTATCAGTAGGGATCAAATTACAAAGATCAGAATCGAAACACTTGAGTTTAATCAAAGATCACCAGGTGATGCGGAATCGAGGTGAAATTTCTTAACGTGCCTTTTCTATTGTTGAATTAATTATCACGAAAATTTCATTCCTTAAGACGATGAACGGCCACGCGGAAATTGTGTGTGCCTAATCTGCAACGCAACCAATAATAAACCACTCACGCATTAATCAGACCACTCAAAAAACACTGATTGAGTGTCAAGAACATTTATAAAAAAAAAGTATATTAAGAATTTATGAAAAATTTGTTACGCCCAGAATAATCTAATTTTGAAAATAGTAAATAGCATTATAAATCCCTTCATGTTGGAAAAATAATTAATAAAAAAATTCAATTATATAACATGGAATATTGTTTCACATTTCTTTAAAGAAAGACAAGCGTACTTGAGCTGCCTAATTGAAAAAGCGAAAGGGTCATTGGCTGAAATGGAGATATACAAAGTGGGAGAGCGAAAACAATTAAAAAAGATCACATGTTCTGATAAGGAGTCTCTTTATTCCCGGAATTACTCCGTAGCGCTTATCAGGGGTCACATTGCGGAGCTGAAAACAACCGTGGAGAGTTAATCAAAAATTTATATCAAACAAGCCCCCCATACGAGATAGCAGAGAGTAAAAATAATGTCATGCAAAAGCGTTATCTTCAAATCTAGATCTTATATAAATGGTAAATTTCGCGCTTAGTTTCGCTCATTCCAACCAAAATGGACAAAATATTCAGGTCGGAAATCTCAGACAATTCGCACTTGTGCGAATTGGAAAACTTGACCATCGCCAATTACGCTTTGCAACGTCTAAAGAGCCGCATTGAGGTGCTCGGAGACAAACCCTGGCTTGTGAGTTTTCAATTTTTTTTTTCAATAATTCCACGAATCAAAAGCATTTTGCCCTACGCAACCTGGAAAACTTTCATACCAGTCCAAAATTTTCACCGTCTATTTTCCCAAAGCTTTCCCCTGCCATTTCTAGGTAAAAAAAGTACATACAGGTGGCGAATTTTTATTTTTTGTATTAATTTTTCTATTCCTTGAACAAACATGAGATTTACGTCAATTAATAGGAAATTTAATTAGCTTTCAAAACCTTACAAAGTTTACGTAAATTAGACACAAAATTTCAATTATTTGAACAAAGGTAAATTTTTTGACATTTTTTTTTATTGGTTTTCTATCTTTAGCTCTTCCAGAAATCATTTTAGAAAAAATTGTTTCATACAAACCTTTTAGAAAATTTAGGTTTGCACACTTACGGTATTTAAAATTTGCATTTAAATCCAAAGCGACAAAAGTTATGAATGCGGAAAGGTTGAAAAATGAGGTTTTTGTCTCAATGGATGAAAATCAAACATGCGGGCCTAGAAAGTTTGCCCTTAAATATAAAATGAATGGTGCCAATTTACGAAATTTCAGACCGGCATGAACATTCTCCAGGACTATAAAGATTTCTTTATCTCTTATTTTATTTATTAAAAAAAAAGGTGGACACGGTGAAAGGAAAGGAGATTTTGTTCAAAGACGTGGAATGTCGCGCCAGAAGCGTGGGCAGCGCGTTGAGCCGGCGCGGCTTCGCAAAGGGCGATTCGGTGCAAATCGTGAGCAGCGACGTGGTGGACGCGACTTTGCTGCAAACCGCAGTTTGGCTCATCGGGGGCTTCACGCGGAACTGCTGCACTGACGATTCCCCAGGTATTTTCACATTTGATTGCATTTTATTTTAAATTTTTATTTAATTTTTTAAAGAGGAAATTGCGAGGCAAATGAAGCAAATCGAATGCAAATTCGTCGTCGCCGACAAAGAAACGATGCAAAAAGTGACGGACGTGCTTAAGTTGTTGGACTTTAAGTGCTCCGTCATAACTATTGGGGATAATTTAAGTGTCAAAAACTCGGTCAAATTTACAGATTTGATCTCTGATGATGGATCAGGTAATTAAAAAAATTTAAATAGAAATTAATTTAGAAAATTTGTTATTTTTAAAGCTTTTCCGGAGACGGAAATCGATGGCAGGGAAGACGCGATTCTTGTTTGCAATACCAGCGGCAGTACCGGACATCCAAAGGGTGTCGTCCACACGCACCACTCCATCCTTTCAACCGTCGCCGTTTTTGAGTATGAGTTTGCTTTTAAAGTCCAGTTCAAGCAATTAAATTTCAAAAAGGAATTTTCATGAATAGATTTTTAATGTGACGAAATGTCCTTAAAAATATTAGCGATGATTTTTTTTTTTTTTTTTGTAAAATGTGAATTATTTTATAAATTTCCCAAATATTTAATTTTAAAAGCATTATTTTCTGCAATTTCAGGGGAAATCTCCCGATTGACGCGAAATCTGATGTTTTCTTATGCACCAACACATTTACAATTTCCTACGCATGGATGTGCATCGTGAGCCTCGCAATAGGATTTTCTGTTCACACCATGGGCAAGTTTAAAAAGGAGCTGCTGCTCGAGCACTTGCTCAAGTACCGGGTATTTTCATTTAAATTTCAAAATATATACTTTTATAACAAAACAAAAATCTGCAGACGCCAAACGTATCTTTCTATCCTTACATCGGCAGTTGGTTTGTCAGAATTTTGGAGACGACGAAACACGATTTTTCCTTCATCAAAGAAATTTCGTTCGGCGGCGGCGTCCTCGACACTACAACTTTCCACATTTTGAAGAAGTACCTGCCAAATGTCGCCATTAATCAGGTTTTTATTTTAATTTTGAATTGAATTTTATCTTGAACTATTTTATCAGACTTACGCTTCAACTGAGTGCCTTGGAATTGCTAAAACTTTTAACAAAGATGGCAAAAAATTGAACATCAAAATCACCCCTGAAGGTTGTTATTAAAAATAAAAATATTGAAAATTTTCCTTAAACTAAATAAATTTTCAGGAGAAAGTTTGGCCTCAAACGGATTTCTTTTTCCCTCGGTGGAAGTTAAGGTTTTGAAAATAGTGTTGGAATTTTGCAAAATATTAAAAGTTGTCACTTGAAGATTGCAGATTTCGATACTGGTGAATTACTGGACGAAAACCAACTTGGGAAATTGTACGTCCGCTCCAAATTCTTGTTGAAAGGCTACCTCGGAGTGAACGGAAAAGTAAAACTTATTTTTTGATGGCTTTTAAATATTTCCGAAACTTTTTGTTGCGAAATAAGAAATAATTAAAACAAAAACTGAATCTTCAGGCAAAGATTGATCATTTTCATCAGGTCGTTTAATTGATTCTTTGATTAGATGGACAGGTCTTGTCTGGACGCGGAGGGTTGGTTCGATACCGGGGACATGGCGTTCGTGGACGAAGAGGGCGAGTTGTTTGTGCGCGAGCGAGTTTCGTTCATGTTCGTGTACATCAACCGGCGCGTGATTCCGAGCGAAATCGAGGCGCTGCTGCTGGAGCACCCGGCCGTGCAGATGGTGTGCGTCCTCGGGGTGCCGCACGTCGACACCAACTACCAGGCCACGGCGTTCGTCGTCCTGAAAAGGGGCAAGCTCGCCACCGAAGATGAACTCAAGCGAATCGTGGCGCGAAAACTCCCCGAACACAAACACTTGCACGGCGGCGTCCAGTTCGTCGAGTCCTTGCCCGAGAACAGGGGCGGAAAACTGGACAGGATCGCCGTTTGGAAGAAGCACTGCCACAGATTTCAGGCTTGACGCATCTTTGAATCGGAATTATTGCATTTTATTGTATTTTATGACTTTTACAAATATATGTGTTAGAAAAGCGTAATTTAATTTAATGAAATTGTTACTTACAATTTTAATACTTATTTGTGCATGGTTTAGTTATTAGAACAAATAAATTATTTAAAAAATATCATGAGATATAAACTCTAGTTTCTTTAAGATTTTAAAATTGAAAAACTCTATTATTGGAATGAAAAATGATGGAAATAAATGTTGAATCAAGTGAATTTTCAATATAATTCACTATTTGTTATTTCTGGTGAAATAAATTATACCTAGTGATTTAAAAGTAAAAAATTAAAGGGATAAAACTTCGTTTTTCTTGCAAATAGAAGAGACCATAAAAAGCGCTTCTTCTTTAGTTGCAAATAATTGTTTATTATTTCCTCTAAATCTCAAAATTTTATTTAATAACTTTGCATTATTTGTTCATTTCTTGATTCTGTAAATTTGTATCAAATGATTTGTAAAAAGTAAAAGTCAGTTGGTCAGTTGGAAGAATTAAAATAATATATAGAATAATTTGAAAATATTTTATCGCAATTTTGGCAGAATTATTAAAAGTTGTGCAAAATCAAGATGATTCGTCACGCATCTTGCGATCCCTCTTCATCTCTCCAAATTAAAAGATTAAAAAGTCAAGACGGCACTCAACATGAGGCCAATTTTTATTTATCACCCATTACAAGCGCGTTTATTTACAAGATCAGCAGTCAGCTCAGGCACTTTGACTTGGCGTGTTCAGATAACAACTTAAACTCGCACGAATTGTATAAAATGCCAAATATTGCGTTTTTTATCAAGTTATCTTTTTGTTCCTGGGTGGTTTTTGAAAGTGTGATCAAGATTTGCCAACCGCAGCTTTGGATAGCCACTAAGAATCAGCCTGAAGATAAAGAGGTTCTCCGCGATAAATACCAAATTTGTCCCAGCAACATAAATTACTGCACCGATTTAGGTAACTAATTGAGAAGCTAGTAAAAAAGTTAATATTTCTAATTTTCATAAATTATTTTTTAAGAAAAATAGTGACACGAATTTCGAAGTTGACCATGTGTCAAAATATGGCACTGTAAAACCTATTGATTTTAATATAAACTTGGGCTTTAGAGCATATTTAATTAATTGCAGGAAAACGCAAGAGCAAGAATACGGATGTCGTTGACAGTAAAATGTTACCAGCTTTGATGATTCCTGCAATTTTATTCCTTCTGATAACAATTTCGATTGCGGCATCAAGAGGGAGTATATCAAAAACAGGCAAACGCACAACGTGAGTAAATCACAGATCGTTTTTATTGTTTCAATTTAATCAAAATTTGTGAATATTTTATGCAGCGACGGCAAAAAAATAGTGATACGCAGAGAGAGCAAATCAATGAAGAGGTCAAAGATCCACTCCATTGGATATATTTGGTTGCTGACCATTTTTGCTTTTGGATCTGCTGCGAGATTTACTTCGGATAAGAGTGAGAAGGTCAGGGGCAAAAATAATTTTTTGTTTTGTTTTTAAGTGTAGCCTGCGTTTAGTTTTGCTGGTTGTTTTCTGTACTTTAATCCCAATTATAGAAAAAACATCTCTTTTCAAGAGATTACAAACATTTTTATGCTTTTCTGTTTCAAAATCATTCAAGTTATAATCCTTCATGTTAAAATAAATTATATTCTTCTTTAACTAAAATATCCTATGCCGGCAAATTATTAATCATCTTTTGGCAATTTCTCATTTTTTCAAATTTGAATAATTTCGTTTGTAAAACTTGATTTGACTTGAAATTTTGCAGAAAATAAACAAGACTGATTGCTGGAATTATGGAAAGAACAAATCAGAATTTGCTGCGCCTGGTAAGAGTGACGGCTCAATTCAAAATTTCGTGAAAAACAAAATTAAAGTAGAAGTTTGACATGTTAATAATTACTATAAGGGGGCTGAATAAAATTTTTCCTAATCCTGTCATTTTTATTCTTAGTCTTCAGTTTTGACGAAGGAAATTTGAGCTTCGATGGCTGTGGCAAGTGGGCCCGCAAGAATGACTCGGCTGACAAAGCACCGTGGTTGGTCCGCATAGGCGCAAGAAGTGTTTGTCAAGGTTTAATTTTGTCACAGCAAACCATCATCTCCTCTATGTTGTATGAACGTAATGCAGACTCAAAATGTGGTCTGGAAATTTAAAGCTGATTAATTTTTACTCGCAGCCAATTGTCGTCGTGAACATGAAGCATTCACGGAAGGAAAAGAAACTAAGATTTTCAGCGGTAAATGTGTTGGAGATCGATACGGAGAAAATTGCTACCGAGGAAATGGCTTGCTTGGCCAAAAGGTGACGACTGAGATTTAAAATTATTCACGCTTATCATAAATTTTATTTATTTCAAGTTACTCGAAGTCAAGCAAGTCAAAATGGAGATTGGCAGTTATTACTTGAACAATTACGTGTATGTGTGGAAAGTTGAGAGGCTGCGCTTCACGCCGAGTTTGCAGCCAGTCTGTTTGTGGAACAGAGACAACCGTAATGACGAAGAGGAAAATTATTTTATATTAGATATATGGGTTGGTTAACATTATCTATTGTTCATGTTTTGCAATCAATGCTTTGCAATTTTTAAGAAAAAAAATCACTTTTCCTCGAACTCCTTTTTTACGTTAGAATGCAGGAAAATGAAAATATTGGAAAAGAGATGAGTTTTTATGTTTACAGAGAAATATATTTAAATCTTCCAATATATGGCCAGAGGAACATTGTTATAAAGAAAGAATTCGAAAGAGCGAGTGCGACCTTTACGGAAATTCAATATGTACACCTAAAAATAGTAAGTATTAAATTGAAGTATTTTTGAGGCAATCAATCGGGAGAATTTTGCGCTCTCGTTTTGCACGTTATAAATGGAAATATGTATAAACAGCAATGTGGTTAAAACAAATTTAATCCTGAAAATTTCAATCTCAAAATTTGCAAAACTTATTAAAATTTTCAAAATTACATACCTAAAATGCGGTCCTCAGTGTGTCAAAAATTGCTCAAATATCAGAACACAAAAAAATTGCATACTTGCAATGAAAATTGTTTTAATGACTTTTTAAGGAAATAATGTAAAGTTGGTCAAAGATAATTTAGATTTACAATTTTTAAATGAAGCTGTAAATTTTTTGAAATAATTCCCATATTTTGAACAAATTAAGAAAGAAATTTTTGTGAAATTTAAAAAGTAAATTTTTATTGAACAACGTCTTCCGTATTTTTACGCTCATTGTCAGATCACTTTATCATCACTTTTTCACTCGGCCCACATTTCCAATTTCCAATCAACTTTAAATTTGTAAAAACACAACCGGAATCCGTTATTTTCACGTATTTCAGAGCCAGAGGAAGAATATTTACTCATTAATCTAGAAGGACGTTTCTACTTACGCGGACTGCAAGTCAAACGCGCACAAGATTTTTCTATATGGCTCGATCTGCTCCCCTTCATGAGGCAAATCGTTTCTGCATCCGTCGATCTGGCACTGAATGCCTCAAATCTCTGGATTGAAAGAGAGAAGTTAAATCCCTGAAAGATAAAATAGATGGTTCTTCAGCAATTAATGAAAAAAATCATTAAAACTTGTAAAATTAAAAAAAAATTTATAATCAATTTCAATAAAATCCCAAAAGCCAACAAATAAAAATTCGTTAAAAATTCAATCGTAATTTTAATTTATTTAAAAAATTCTCTTTCTGATGAAAATAGCAATATAAACTGATAATATTTTGAATCATTTAAATTAAAAATGGATACAAAAGACAAATCAAGATCGAAGAAAATATATCATGATAGCTTTGTGTGCTCAAAGTTAAACCGTTAATAATAAAATAAAAATTAATAAATCATGTTAATTTTTTTCCTGAGCTATGACGCAACACAATATAAAAAATATGCTAATATCAGCTGAGAGACGCCGCCGCGAATATACACGGCCTGCAATTATTATTTATAATCCCCCCACTGTAAAAAAAAGCGCGTGTGTGTGCCTTAATTTAGACGAGACGCGTCTCTTCCAACATAGTCTGCTCAAGAACCTTGAGCTGCTTTAACATTGTGCTGAATTTGGCCAGTCTAAATAATGAAACCATCTTTGCCGAAAATTGCGAATTTTACCGGGTTTTACTTTTTGTTCCTTGTTACTTTTGGAAAGTGTGAGCAGATTTGCCGCGATGGAGAACCGCAGCTTCGGATCTCAAAGGCGGATGTTGAGGTGAAGGACGGAATCATTCTTTACGAAAATCACGCGTTTAAGCCTGGAGATTACGAGGTTGTGGGTGATTTTTACGTCATTTGTCCCTGCAACGTCAAGTATTGCGTGAAGACCTGCACCGACTTAGGTATTTCTTTAATGATGTAATGATTTAAGCTGCCCCTAATCATGTTCAAATTCTAATATTTTTGTATTTTTTTTTGTTTATTAAAGAAATAACACTTTTTTATTACTTTTAAAATTATAACTTTTATTAAATTAAATTGAATCATTATATTATTAAATTTTACTTACTTTCCTCCTCTGCAACAATTTAATCTAAATTAAATTGTTTAAATTTTAACATATTAATTTAATTAATATTATTACATTATAAATTAAGTCATGATTCATGAATAAATCTTTTTTATGCATTCCATAATACATAATTAAAACCCCATTGTGTTGGTTTTTTTTATAGAAAACGGAGAATATTTTCCACCAGATAAGAATTTCAAAGTTGACGTTTTGACGAAAGATGGCCAAACTAAAACCGTCGATTTCTACAGCCACTTCTACCCATTCATCGACACTCGCGATTGCAATAACAACTGGGAAGATATTACAGAAAATGATTATGTCTTATTAGAGAACGGAAGCCTGGCACATTCTTTGCATCAAGATTTATATTTGGAATACAAATACTCAGGATACTGTTTTGCTCAGGACAATGTGCGTGAAATCATTGAAAGTAATTTTAATGCAAATAATAATAAATAAATTCTTCAAGGAAGGGGAGAGCAAGAAGATTGTTTGCGTCGCAGATATCACTGATTCGGAAGGAAGCGGAATTTTCTATATCAACCTGATACATATTTTAACTGCGTTCTCTGCAATTTTCCTGCTCATCACAGCAATAGCGATTGTGGCATCAAAGGAGAGAAAATCCAATTTGGGCAAACTCGCCGTTTGCTTTTCACTCACCAATGTGGTTTCCTACTTGATTTTCATTTATTATTACTTTGTGAAGCCAGAAAATTTCACCTACAGCAAAGGGATTTGCAACATTTTAGGCAATTCAAATTTCAAAAATAAAATTCTTATTTATATAATTTCCTGATTTGTTTTCAGCAATTACGGTTTATGTTTCAAAACTCAGTTCGTACTTTTGGCTCAACTCGATGTGCTTTGAAAATTTCCGGCTTTCCAAGTAATATTTTCAAAATTCTCGGTGAAACTTTTACAAATTTTTTATTGTCAAGGTGTTCCCGTGAACCTGAAACCTCCAGATTTTTCATCTTTTCATCACTTTACTCCACCTTGATGCCTTTTATAGTTATCCTTATATTTTGGGAACCATCGCACGTTTTGTGGTATTTTTTCAAAGTTGATTTTAACGTATCAATCAACGAAATTACTTGCTACATTCAAGGTAAAAACTTTTTATTTGTTAAATTTACTTAAAAATCCTGCGTGTTTCATTAGATATTGCAATGGAATTGATCGTTCTTCACTGTCCCATTTTTATTGTGTCAATCTCAAGTTTGATCATCTTGGTCGCAACATTGATTAGACATTTAAATTTGGGGCGAGACAAGGACTTCAGCTGGTAAGTCAATAAATCAGAACCTAATACTTTAGTTTTAATTTGTTTGCCCCTGAAGGTTTGCAATTTGCGTGCTGCTATTTATCATCATGGTGATTCCAGTAATAGTGGATTGCGGCGTATTTTTGCTAATGAATGAAAGCGACACCTCCATCGTAGCGATCATTTTATATAATTTGAGTTCACTTTGTGGGATCCTCGTTTTCTTGGTTTTTTTCACTTTCAATGAAAATTTCAGGAAAAGCCTGTTTTGTTGCAGAAAAGCTGCTCAACCGTACAATGAAGCAGAACTACGCTAGCAAAATATATATAGCACAACAGATAATGAAAACTGTGCAAAATTAAATATAAAAGGATTATATTATAAATATCCATTGCTGGTTCTTGACTAGAATACGCCTTGTATTTCTAGTTTTTGTCATTTGCAATGGAAATGTAAGGGAAACTGTATTTTGTCGAGGATGGACTATTCAACGAGACTCCTCATAGAACTTTGGAAATTTTCTAAAATACTAACCAATGTTCTACTCAAGCCAAATTTTTGGAACTGTAAATCTCTGAAGAAAAATTATATTATGTTTTAAACTTTTTTGTATAAATTCTAATCTATTTTTATTTATTATATTAAAAATGTACTTTTAGTAAATAAATACATAGTGTTGAGCCAATTTATTTATCAAGACCCGCCGCTCCACATAATTTATCTGATATTAAGAAAATATTAATTTCTCATTATAATATACATTGAAAGTTTTACTTTAAAACAAAAACACTTGGCCAAAAGTCAATGTAAGAAACATAAATTTTACTTCAAAGCTGCTGTAGATCGTCTTCACTCTGCTCGCTCTTGATCTAATCACACAAAAAGTAATGAAAAAACATCAGCAGCGAAAGAGAGAGACGCCGCAGCGAATACAGCGCCAATTATTTATAGTCTAAAAAAGCGAGAGCTCGTTTGTTAAGTTCAGACTCATCTTCTATAGAACAGTCCGCTCATGACCTTTAACTTCGCAAAAGAGGCAGTCATTTAGGGTGGGCTGACGAGTGATAATTATGCATCTTTCTTTGCCACGAATAGCGTTTTTCTTCTCCTGCTTTTCGTTCTTGGTTGGTTTTGGAAAAAGTCAGCAGATTTGCCGCGATGGAGAACCGCAGCTTCGAATCTCAAAGGCGGATGTTGAGGTGCGAAACGGGACCATTGTTCATGACAATCGCGCGTTTAAGCCTGGAGATTACGAGGTTGTGGGTGATTTTTACTTCATTTGTCCCTGCAACGTCCAGAATTGCGCGAAGATCTGCTGCAACGAAAATTACTGTTTGAAATCCTGCTCCGATATAGGTATTCATAAATTTACATTAACGTTTTCAACTAGGAAAAAAGTTTATATCAAATTCAAATTCACTTGCTTTATTTTAATTTTATGGCATTGTTTGTATTTAATTAACAGTTCATTTCATTCTTAATTCATATTTTGTTTACTTTCTTTTAAATAATTTATTCTACAAAAAGATACACTTTAAAGTTCAATAATTTTAATTAATTATTATTTTAATAATAATTTAAAATTATCCGCATTAATATAATTAATGAGATGTATATCCAATTTTCCAGAAGTCTTTAAAAACTGCATTTTTTAGTATAATTGTAAGATATATTGAAGTTTTAGTGTTTTCCATTTTTTATTTTTAGACTTTGGAGAATATTTTCAACCAAACAAGAGTTTCGAAGTTGACGTTCTGACAAAAGTTGGCCAAAAGAAAAAAGTCGATTTCTACAGCCACTTCCACCCATTCATTGACACTCGCGATTGCGTCAGATGGGAAATTAAAAATGATTATGTCATGCTGGAGAACGGAAGCCTGGGATATTCTTTCGTTTCAGAATTGTACTTGGAGTTCAACTACTCAGAATTCTGCTTTGCCCAAGACGAGGTGCGTAAATAATGAAACATAAACAAATATTAACACTTTCCTTTTATAGGAGGGGAAAACCAAAAAGTTTTCTACCTTCCCAGCAAAAATCACAGAATTTGTTGACACCGAAATTTTCCGTTCCCTCCTAATGGTATATGTGGTTTCTGCAATTTTTCTTCTATTCACCGCACTAGCGATTGTGGCATCAGAGGAGAGAAAATCAAATTTGGGCAAACTCGCCGTTGGCTTTTCACTAACCACGATGGTTTCCTATTTGGTTTTCGCAATTTATTATAATGTGAAACCAGATAATTTCATCTTCGGCAGCTGGATTTGCAATATTTATGGCGAGTCGTATTCCAAATTAAATTAAAATAAAAAATTTATTTTTATTTTTCAGCATTTATAATTTACGTGTCAAGACTCAGTCCATACTTTTGGCTCAACTCGATGTGTTTTGAAAACTTGAAGCTTTCAAAGAGGTTAATTTTTAAATTTACTTTTTTTTTAAATTTTTTTTATAATTTTTAAGGTGTCTTCGTGAGCCTCAAACCTCAAGATTCTTTATCTTTTCATCACGTTACTCCACCTTGACGCCGGCTTTGATATTCATTATTTTTCGAGTAGCGTATCAAGTTTTACATTTATTCGGAGATAAATTGGAAAATTCAATTAACCAAGAGAGGTGCTACTTTCAAGGTAAAAAACTCATTTTCATTTTTGAATCCAACTTTCAAATGAATAATTTTTATGTAGATATTGAAGTGGAAATGATCGTCAATAACGGTCCTGCCTCCGTTGTGTCAATTTTAAGTTTGATCTTCTTGGTTATAACTTTGATTCGAAATTTAGAAGCTGGGCAAGATAAGGAGCGCAGCTGGTATAAATCATTGATAAATTTGAAAGAAAAAATTATTTCAAATAATTTCTATCAAGGTTCTTCATTTGCGTGCTGTTATTTATCATCACGGTGATTCCAATAATAGTGAATTGCAGCGTATTTTTGCTGAAGAATGACAGCTCCTTTGTGAGCCTCGCTTTATATCATTTGAATTCATTTTCTGGGATCCTCGTTTTTCTAGTTGTTGTAACATTAAATGCAAATGTTAGGAAAAGCCTCTTTTGTTGCAGAAAAGATGTTCAACATTACAATGAAGTAGAGCTTCATTAGAAAAATATTGTATAATTATAACGATGAATGTTTCAAATTGTATTTTAAATACAAGATGGTTCTTTTTTAGTATTTCTGTTGTGTATATTCTGTATTTATTGTATATACAATATATAAGGATGGAAATGAAAAGTCACTTTTTAATTGTTCAAAATTTTCAGTGCAAAAAAATCGCCAGCAAAAGACGTCAGCATCATGGGGGCCCTTTTGTTTTAATAAAATCCTTTAAAAGAGAGTAGTTTATTTAGACGTGACGCGCGTCACTCCCTTATGAACTTAAACCAAAAAAATTTGACATTATAAAAAATATATCTCTTTTTTAAAAAGCCAATTTTTTTTTTTTAATGCTTACTGATTTAAATTTGATCGCTAATTTATATATATTACAATTTATTTAAAATTTAGTTTCACCGGTTTCAACTAAAATAATTAAAAAAATAACTTTATTTACTCCAAATTTCAATATTTTATTTAAATTTTACAAAATATATTATTATATTCATAATGATCATTTAATTAAAATCAATTCTTTATTGCTTTTATAGTCGAAGTGGTTCTACATTTATGTGGCACAAAAAAAAATAATCTAAAGATTTATGTCTGGGGTGTTTTCTACGATCCATGGTGACGTCCTTGTGGAGAGCGTAGACCTTGGGGTAGCATGAAACGAAACCATTGTTCAATTTAATGACTGAGCTCATGCTGACGACGCCGCGCAAAAAGTGGCGTTTGGTGACCTCGCGGTCGTAAAAGGTCAATTCCGCCCCGTTGTCTCCGACACACGCTCTAGTCTCTGAAATTACAATTTTGATTCGATTTTTTTTTTTATTTATAAAAACTCACTATTTTTAAGAGGTGCGGCGCAAAAGTTTTCCGTCAGACGCATGTATTTGGAAAAGAACTTCTTCTTGCTTGAAAAACACTCCTGGTAGGAAACAACTCTCAGTTTCTCCTTTTGCAAAATTTCGGTCTGTTCTTGTTCCGAAGAAGTGTAGCCAAAGCCGACCACCCTGGATACAATTATAAAATAAAAATGATCAAATTTGAATTAAAACTCACCGTGACAGAATTGTTCACGATTTTTTTCGAATCGTAATCAGAGTTCCAGAGACAAATGGCAAATGGGCCGCACGAAATCAGTGAAATTGACGTCGTTTTTCAAGATGACCACGGCAATGTCATCTTTCAAATCACTCCTGCCGCGATTGTAACCGGGGTGCACCAACACCTGTGCAAATTATAAGATTTGAGATGTAACAAATCAGCGGCTCTTTTAAAAGAAAGATACTTTTTTATGGTATTAAGCAGGAAAGCTAACAAATCTCGTCACTTGGACTCCAATGATGTGTGGAACAACAAATACGAGAGATGGCGCGGGGATGAGATAAATTCGCCTGCAAATGGTATGCGAGGTCATTATTGCTGCTAAAAACATTTCCGCCGTGAGGCAGCAAATCGACACAGACGCAACTCTCTTTTTATCCGACTATAAATAAGGCTGGGCGTGTATTTGCAACAAACTCGCTGTGCACTCGGATCACAATTATGAATTTTTCCCGATTAGCGTGTTTTATCATCTTGATCGGTTCTGCAAAATGCCAGCAGGATTGTCGGCACGATGAGCCGCAGCTTGAGATCGCAAAGACGGATGTTGAGGTGCGAAACGGAACCATTTTTTATGAAAATCACGCGTTTAAACCTGGAGATTACGAGGCTGTCGGTGATTATTACTACATTTGTCCCTGCAATGTCAAGTATTGCGTCAGAACCTGCACCAATTTAGGTATCAATTTGAATCATAATTCATATTTATTATTACGACACTTTCGTTCGTCAAAATTTAATTGTTTTATTCGAAAAGTAAACAAATCTAGCTTTAGCGCATTAAAATTAGCTGCTTTTCACACTAAAATAACTGTCAGAACAGTGGGAGAAGTCGAGTTTGGTAAGTTCATAGATATTCGCTCAAGCAATTAATGCGAATGTTGTGAATGAAGCACTGAAATCGCCTCAAAATCAGTGATACAAGCAAGGGGTGCCGCCAGTCTTCGTTTGCATAAATTTCCTGAGTCTGGAGCCTAATTATATCACACTTGACTTCTCCCCTACCCTTTATTTCTGAAATTGAGACAATTTAGTCGGAAATTAAGACATTTCCCGATATCATATTTATTGTAATTCACTTATATTTTGAATTTTACTTTAAAATAGTTATAAAAATTATCTTAAATAGTGTGAAAAAGCGAGAGAACATTTAAATTATTAGTATTATTTTTTTTTATTTGTCCAAATTATTGTTAAATCATTAAATGCATGTTTAGAAAATTATTTTCCACCAAACAAGAGTTTCAAACTTGACGTCGTGACCAAAGATGGGCATAAGAAAAACGTCGATTTCTACAGCCACTTCTACCCGATCGACGAAATTCGCGATAGTCACGATTGCTTCTGGGATGTGATCACAGATGCTTACGATGTACTTGAGAACGGAAGCGTGGCATTTTTGTTTGGTGAAGAAGTGAACGTGCTGTACAAGTCCTCAGATTTCTGCTTTGCCGAAGACAGTGTACGTAAAAATCAATAAAACCAATGCAAAATAAAAGTATAATTTTTTTTATGCATAGGAAGGGGAGAGCAAGAAGTTGGCTTGCTTTATAGAAGACCCGGATTTTGTTAATATCAAACTTTCCCACTCGTACCTGCCTCTTTATGTGGTTTCTGCCATTTTCCTGCTGATCACCGCGCTTGCGATTGTGGCGTCAAAAAAGGAAGGAAAATCAAATTTGAGCAAACTCGCCGTTTGCTTTGCTTTAACCATGATGGTTTCCTATTCGCTTTTCACCATTTTTTATTATCTGAAACCTCCAAACCTCATCCTCAACGACTGGATTTGCAGTATTTTTGGCAAGTCATATAATTTAAACGGAAATATAATAATAAACTTTCTTATTTTTTTCAGCATACACAATATACGTTTCAAGGCTCAGTCCATATTTTTGGCTCTACTCAATGTGTTTTGAGAACTTCCAGCTTAATTCAAAGTGCCTTTTTATCAAATTTACTGACTGGTTTGTTTCATGAATTTTTAATATTCAAGGCAAGCTCGGCGTGAACCTCAAATCTCCAGATCTTTCGCCTTTTCAGCACTTTGCTCCATTATGATACCTGCTTTAATCTTCGTTATTTATCGAGTAGCGAATCGCATTTGGCATCATTCGAGAGGTGAATTCGACTATTCAATTAGCGAAGAGACTTGCAACTTTCAAGGTAAAAAATCTTTTTTTTAATTTACTTTCAAGTAAAAATCATGTTTCATAGATTACGACATTGAAATGATCGTCTATAACGGTCCTGCTGCCATTGTTTCAATTATTAATTTGATCCTACTGGTTTCAACTTTAAAATTGGGGCAGGCTCAGGACCGCCGCAGTTGGTACATTCTTTTAATATAACATTTTAAACTTTTTTTAATTTTTTTTTCTTTTATTAAAAAGGTTTTTTATTTCTGTGCTGCTATTTATCATCACGGTGTTTCCAATAATACTGGATTGCGGCGTATTTTGGCTGATGGATGTTAAAAACGACGAATCATTCGTTTGGACCATTTTATATATTTTAAATTCAATTAGTGGGATTTTCGTTTTTCTAGTTTTTGCCATTTTCAACGGAAATTTCAGGAAAAGCTTATTTTGTAGCAAAAACGTTGATGAACATTACAACGAAGTAGAACTTCGTTAGGTAAATATAAAATGGATTTTCCAACTAAATATAATTAATTCATATTTTAACTTTTTAATTATATTTCTTTTTCATTTAATCACAATCACTTAATTGTACACACATTTTAAAAGAGGAAATACTTTGTATAATGTCTTGGGCCATTAATGAGAATCAAAAAATTATATTTTATTTAAAATAAAGTTTGACTTATATCTTATATTATAAGTCGTTATAAGTATTATGTTGCAGTTTATATATTATTTAATCAATTTCTTTTCTGTTGTTAAATAATTATTTCTCTTCTGTTTTTACTATAAGATTGAATTTCAAATTATTTCAAATATAAGTTTTATCGCTACATATTAGCAAAAATGCTGTAATTGTCAAATTTTAATAATAAAATTTAATTGAAATTTTTATAAAATAACCTTTTTTTATTAATTAATACTCCTATAATGTGCCTCAACTTACAATTTTACACTTTTTATTACAAATAATATTTGAAAATAGAAAGATGATGTCAACTTCCTGATGATAAACAATTTGGCGCCTTTGTACACGCAACATAGAGATGCGACCACTTAAAAAAGCATGACTCTTTTTGCAGTCCGCTCTCGACAAGCTTGAATTATGGATGAAAACAGTGTGTGCGTGTGTTGGTAACAAGCAAAACTCGACTAAAACAAGCTCAAGCGAATGGATTCCAAGGTCACTTGGCCTTATAATAAATAAAATTGCAAATGACGTCACGCAGCTCTCTTCGCCTCTACCGCAAAAAAGCCTCAGGCGCAGAGATCGAGAGACGCCGCCACGCACATGGGGCCAAATTTTAGCATCCATATGATTAAAAGAGTCGCCGCATAAGGTCCTAAAATGAATTGTAAGAAAATTGAAAAACTGCAAAATGTTAAATTGTTTGGAATGCAAGACCGAATTTTGTCGCGTCAGAAAATTTGAATTAAATAAAAAAATGTTTTCAAGCAGCTCGGTTAATTTTCCGAATAAAAATAATACTTTTTGTTTAATAAAATCAAAATATCATGGAATCTCTAAAAAAAGATTCTCAGCTGTGCGGCACTATTATTGTTTATTCTACTCAAATAATATATTATGATATAGTATTTTACACTAAATATTTATTCTACACGTGATTCAATTCTCCAGATATTGGTTTTGTATCATTTCCAAATGAAAAATCCGAAAAATTCTTCAGGTTTATGCAGAGAAACTGACCAATGTAATATATATTTATCGATCCAAATACCTCCACGCGGAGTAGATGATTCTTATAGACTAGTCTTGGCCATGGCTTTCCAACTTCAATTATTATTTTTTTAAATTATTGCAGATCATAAAAATATATTAAAATAACTGCGGTTTTTTCATAAGGTAACGTCAGAACTGTTTTATAGATATAATTTTGTAGGACTCTTATGTGCAATTTAATTAAATTAAGAATTTTTTTTTCTATATTTAAAAAAAAAATCACTGACGATTGCTTCTGGTATAATTAATAAATCCCGACTTTGCACGCCATATAAATCGTTATAATGGTTTATATTTTACATTGGACATGCCTAGGAGTTTCTCATACTAATGAGAAGAGCATTCGATCAGTGAATTGGAATTATAAGCTTAACCAATGGGATATTGCAACACGTATTATGAAATTTCGCGCAATACATAATATATGCGGTTTTGGGCTTCCTGTACTTTTGTACTCTTGGTAAATTCTGCTCCTTTTTATGGACTAAATGAAATTTTGGCGCGACCCTCGCCCGCTTGCCCCATCACATGCACTCCACCTCTATTATTTGTCAGATTTAAAATTTTTAACAAAAAACTCTTCAGCGGATAAAAGGCCTCTCCTGTGCAAGCGCGCTTTGGTCTGGCATTTAATTTTAGGGCGTAGCGTGGCGCCCTGATTAAAAAGGCGCGTTCGTGCTTCGGGCGCGTCTCAGCTTCTTCCAGAGGCCAGTCCGCGTAACAATCGCGAGTCGCTAACATTGTGCAGCTGAAGTTGGCACTAAAATTATGAATATTTTCGTGCCGAATTTTGTCTTTGTCTGTTACTTTTTGTCTTTTATCGGTTTCGGAAATTGTAAGCAGATTTGCCGCGATGGTGGACCGCAGCTCCAGATAGCAAAGGAGGATATTGAGGAGAAGGACGGAACCATTTTTTACGCGAATCACGCGTTTCGGCCTGGAGAATATGAGGCTGATGATAATTACTTCTTCACTTGCCCGTGCGACGTTAAATACTGCGTGAAAACCTGCATCAATACAAGTATTATTTATAATATATTCAGTTAATTATAATTTCAAGCAAAACCTATCGCATGTTTAAATTGTCTTTTTTGTCAATTTTTATTTATAACTGATACAAATAATTGAATAAGATTATTATTTTTCTGTACCTTAATAATATTATTTAAAAACTATACTTTTTTATTTAACATAGTTTCGTATTTATTATTTCTTTATTTTACATAATATCTAATTAAATTAATTGTATAATAATATTTATAGAATATCGCAAGAATTTTTTTTATTGAATTTTTCCCATTCATAATATTTAAATCCATATTTATTTTAGGATTCTTTAGTAAATTTTAAACCGCTTAAGTATGATTAGTTTATTATAATTTATTTTACATTCTATTTTTCAAATGAACGCCATAATTAAAAATAAAAATATTCTTAAAAAGTACATTAAGAAAATTAAAATCCATTGTTTATTTGTTTTTCTGTTTGTAGAGAGTGGACTTTATTCTGCATCACCAGGCAAGAATTTAAAAGTCAACGTTGCGACAAAAGACGGAAAAACCAAAAACATCGATTTCTACGGCCACTTCTACCCAGAAACTCTTGATTGCTACAATGGGGAAATGAAAGTTTTCACGAATCAAGCCGTTTTCTTTGAGAACAGAAGCGTGGCCGAATATTTTGAGGGTAAATTACATCTGGTGGCCAATTATCCAGACTTTTGCATCGCGCAGGGGCAGGACTTTGTGAGTGAAAATTATATTGTTTTTCTAAATAATTAAAGAGCAATTTATAATTATAAGACCGATGATGGGGAAAGCAGGATTTATTTGTGCGATGGACAAGATGATGATTTTGAGGAATACCCTCAAAACAAGGACATCAACTTTTCGATTCATTTCCTCGCTTCGGCAGTTTTCCTTCTGATCACAGCAATTGCGATTAGGGCTTCAAAGGAGCGGGAATCGCATCTCGGCAAACTCTCCTTTTGCTTTTCACTGACTATGATGTTCATGTATTTGGTCCTGGCCGCTTTTTACCATCTCAATCGAGCTGGATCGGTTGGCTTCGGCCTCTGCAGACTTTATTGCAAGTTCTCAAGCTGCTAAAATTATAAATAAAAAAATAATAATTTCCTTTCATTTTACAGTTTTTGCAACTTTTACCTTGAGCATTAGCTCGTTCCTTTGGCTCAACGCAATTTGTTTGAAGAATTTGCAGCTTTCCAGGTATTTAATTTTATTGAAAAAATCTTATGATATTTGGCAGTTTTTTTTTTATTACATTATTATTTTTACCCACTTTTGTCACGGGTCAACCAATTACTTTATCTCTACATACCTAAAGGAATCGGCCTGCCAATGCCAAAAGTGGGTAAAAAAACTGCCTTAAATTTTCAAGGCTCCCTCGTAACTACACGGAAGCTCGAACCTCTCGATTCTTTGTCTATTCATCGCTTTTCTCCACTTTGGTGCCTTTACTTCTCCATACAATTTTTTACGTGGCATCTTTTATTTGTCATATTTTCGGATTCCAATTGAACTTTGCGCTCAGCAGCTACACCTGCTACTTGGAAGGTAAAAAATACTCTGTTATTTTCGTAATGTAAAATTTATTCCATGCCGATTCTATAGATACAATTACGGGCGTTATCTTCTGCGACGGGCCTGTTTTCCTTGCATTAATTTTAAATTTGATTTTCCTCATCGCAACTCGAATAACATCAGCAAATCTAAGCTGGTAATTTCACTTTTAAATTTAAATTTTGAGCTCAAATTAAGGCAAAAAAATTTGTTATTTTTCAAGGTTCGTCGTGTGTGTGCTGCTATTTATCGTCATGGCATGTCCAGTAATTGTGGTTTTTGTCCTGATGCTGGACAAGTATCAGGAATTATCCTTCATTTGGAGTATTTATGGTCAATTCAACGCACTACGTGGGTTCTTCATATTTCTGATCATCGTCATTTTCAACGGAAACGTGAGGAACAGCCTGTTTTGTCGCAAAAAAACCACCGTCCAGCAACTCGCCATGGAATTAAGCTAGGCAAATTTTTCGGTGCTAGGACGATAGTTTTTCCGGACGATAGTTTTTTTCTCTAAACGGACAATAGTACAACGCGGCGTTGCCACATAGTGCGCGCGAATTTTGAAATGAAGTGGCGGGAAATGGATGCGTTCAGCGGCTGTCACATGCAATTAAGGAGTGAAGTTTTTTTATTATTCCAGAAAATGAAAGTTATAAAGTATTTAATTTTAATTTAATTTTAACCTCTTTAATAATAGTTAATTATTAAAAAGTTATTTTTTTTTAAATGTAAAAATAAAAGTTAATTGTTTTAAATTAATGATAAAAAATTTACATTTTTCTAAGAATTTTTTTTATTTTCTTGTCATTACTCTTACACTTATATTAAATTTCATCCTGTCACAATAATGCGCATTCATCTACCTAGCCAAGTTAATGTTACGAGCCACTTTCCGAAGGTAAGTGCTTGGTAGTTGGTTTCCGAGGGAGTATATTTCACAGAGGTTTTTCAGGCGACTTTGCAGCCTCTTGTAAATCTGATTTTTCCTTCTGGTCGGAACTTCGCCAGATTTTTTGACATATGTCTTTTCGTACGACAAAGTCTATCCATTATCCATCTATTCTATTTTTGTATAATATTAAATATAATATTTATTTATTATTACTAAAGAAGTTAAAATTAAAATAAAATTTAATATTTTTAGGTATATTATTCAGGAAAAAAAATACTTCAGTGACTTCAGTCCTATGAATAGATTAAAATCACTCTTTTCCGTTTTTTTTTTCTTTTCATATTTTAAGTATTTTTATTAAAGAAGTTAAAATTAAATTAAAATTAAATACTTTATAACTTTCATATTCTGGAATAATAAAAAAACTTCACTCCTTAATTGCATGTGACAGCCGCTGAACGCATCCATTTCCCGCCACTTCATTTCAAAATGCGCGCGCACTATGTGGCAACGCCGCGTTGTACTATTGTCCGTTTTGAGAAAAAAACTATCGTCCGGAAAAACTATCGTCCGCACACCAAATTTTTCACCGCGACCAAAGATTTCCAGTCAAAAGAATTTAAAGTATAATTCAATTTTATGCTTGTTTGGGTTTTTTATGTAAACATAATTTTAAATCAATTAAAGTACATTGTAAACTTGCATTTTTACATTTGGTATTCATTCTGGCGCATTCCTATTTATTTAAAGACGTTCTATTCACAGCTGTTTCCGATCACTATTTTCGCTCCACTCGTGCGTCAATGGGGATTTGTGCGATCGGCCCCGCGGCCCTACATTCTGGCGCGCGGCTCTTCTCATAAATTCCGTGTCTTTTCGCCTCTTATTTACGAGAGTGAATCACTTTCCAATTAAATTTAGAAGTTAACAATTTTGTGAACGTTTCAAATTCATAAATTTTCATTTATTCAAATCAATAATTCTATGAATAGAAAATAAAATTGTTTTTTTTATATGATTTTACAAGAGAAATATAAAAAGTAGAAATTAATTCAATAGAAAAAGGGAAAGAATAGTTTAATTAATTTTACTCAATTCGTTTTCCTTAGTAAAATCCTAATTTCAACGTAACGAAGGAAAAAATTAATTAGAAGCCTCATATTGTTCACTTTTTTTTTACCTTTTTTTTATTACATGATTAATTATATTTCAAGCAAGACCTAATTTGTGTTCGTTTGGCAATCTCAGCGTTTAATTGAAAATCGAATCTGATTGCAGCCGGCAAAGTGCCAAGTCGGTGCAGCAATTACTTGAAATTGGTGCACCTCGCGCCACTAATTACGCTCGCTCCCCCGAGTTTGAATGTGGGCCAAACTCTCGGACAGACGACACTTGACAGCAACTAGGTTTTGCGTCAATTACGCCCGACGCTCCTCATGTATGTACATTGTTGAGCGCGCAAATGCTCTGTGCAGTGATTCACCTGAATTTCGCAATTGCACCCGCAGAGGCAAATTTAATTCGGCTTTCAGTGAAATTTAATCCTGAAGATTATTTTGTTAAATTAAAATCAGGGGCTGACAAGCAACTAAAATAAAAAAAACAATTTGATAAATTTCTTTTTTACCTTTTGTATGATTATTAAAAAATTGAAGTTTTATTTTTTTTTTAAGATATTCATTTGATAACTTCTTGGTTATTGATTTATAAATTATTTAATTAATTTCGTAGTTATTAATTTCCTTAATTAAACACAATTTATTCCAACAAAAGACTAGATTTATTTATTTATTTATTTATTTATTCTCCATTCATAGTACATACAACGCAAAAAAAGTACACTGTACAAAAAAAAGCGGAATCATGCATCGACATAAAAAAGTACAAGCATACAAAAAAATGCCGAAAATCAGGAGTCGGAAATTTAAATAGAATTGATGATAAATGGATGAAAATTAATAATTAATTCACCATTTGCGAAATCAAATAACATTGGTTCTTATGACAGCTTCATCTTAGAATGATTGAATCTTTTCAATCCTAAGACATGTTGTACAAAATGAAAAATAAAAAATATTGGCGTTGGAAAAATCAAAATTGGTTCAGCGTGGGGCTGTAGTCAGGCGATCAAAGATTTGTAAAAACTCAAAAAATTGGCTTCGGTTGCCTACTTTACAAATCTTTGATCGCCTGACTACAGCCCCACGCTGAACCAATTTTGATTTTTCCAACGCCAATATTTTTTATTTTTCATTTTGTACAACATGTCTTAGGATTGAAAAGATTCAATCATTCTAAGATAAGGCTGCCATAAGAACCAATGGTATTCGATTTCGCAAATGGTGAAATCCGTTATAGAGTTGCTAAATAAAATCTGTGCAACTGAAGTCTTAAAAATTAAATTAAACTAAAAACAGCTCAATTATTTCATAAAAACCCTTTCAAATAAATTGTGAATAGAAGAGCTTTTGACATGGAGCCTAGCTAATGTGAAACGCGTTTTACAGGCCGAATTGGAAATGGGGCGATTCCGGGCCCGCCGCCGCTTTTGCTTCTCGCAACAATTGACCCGCTGCTCTCTGTTGCATCAACGCGCGCGGTGGTCGTGAATCTTTATGTAAACACGCTCAGCTCCTTCTTACTCTCTTGTAATAGTTTCGCTGCTCCGTCCCAAAAATAGAACTTACGAAAACATTCTCTCCATTATCGAGGCGCGCGCTCCGGGTTAAATCATCTCAAGAGACGGCGCGAGAGAGAGTCGTCGTCACTGGAGAGGAATGCAACCAGCTGACCCTTGCACAACCTAATACTTGGCGACGAATGCAACAAAATCGTCTGGACCATTCCAAATTGCGCGGCCATTCACTGATGAACAAGTTATTTCCGCCCAAAATGACGCGCAGCTCTTGAAATTGAGTCGCATTTTGTTTGCGTATTTTTTTTTCACCCTTGTTCCGAATCAGTTTTTATTTCGAGAAACAAGGTCTTTGCCAAATTGAAAATTGGCATTTTTTAGAAATTTTTTAGTCAATTATATTATAATGCACAGATTGGTACACATAGGGCTTCTTGATATTTTTAGAGAGCATTTGCGAACCAATAACAATTCAGTGATTCCGTCTAAAAAATTGATTCTAAAATGTTTTGTTCAAAGGTCAAACAAATATACAAGTAAATTTCCAACCTCAATATTGCAGAGACTATTAAATTATTTCTGTTTCCAAAGCGGATTTCGTGAAGGTTGCATAACATAGCAACTCCATTGCTAGAATATGTTATTTCCAACGCAGAGGATTTCAAATCTTTATGGCAACCGAAACTGCTGTTTTGTCAGCGTGTTTACACTCGCGGCTCTTTTTCGAGAATTTTGCAAAATTTCTGCTTTCCTGCCAGCGAACGCATAAATCTTCTATTTCGGCGCCGCCATTCCTCAGCATTGATTGCGAATCAAAATAAACCTAACGTCAACATCCCGTTTGTTGACCCCTGATCGGTTCGTCGTCAGTCGCGAAAAAGAGAATTTAAAATAAATGGACCACCGCTTATTTTAAAAGTGATTTTGATAAAATAAATATATTTAATTAATAATCATTACTAGTAAAAAAGCAGAGGTTGAAGTGTTTTTGAAAATTTTAAAGATGGTTCCTGCTTCTGTTGAATATTTTAAGATATTTTGCCCAGACCGAGAAGTGGATTTTTTCGCTTCACTTGCCGACTTCAAAAGAGACGGATGTTTACCACTTTCAACTCGAGCTGTCATATTTTTATTGGCAAAATGAAAGAGCAGCAAAAGTGGTAAAGGCGGTGCTGCAAAAAGTTAAAAATACTTTAAAAACTTTTGAAAAATCAAATAAATTCACCTCATCTTTTGATAAAATTTGCAAGCATTGTCGGCGCCCTTGACTTTGCCCAGACTTACTTTCTTGCTCCACCTGCGCCCACGTTATGGGCGATAAAAGAAAGGCAAGGTCGCGGCGTCACCGTCGACGCTTCTTCTGCCCACTCATTGAGAGTGACGCGGCAACACTGTGCGCGCTTTTTTGGCAAGTCGCGCCGCCTTTTATGGACACTAGGGTCATGTTCCGTCCGACGATAGAGCGTCCGAGCCAGCCAGAGCCGCTCCTCGGCGCACTCGCACCGAATTTACCGTGAATTATTCAAACTCGTCGCAAGGTCGCGCCGCGGCTCTTGCTTTTAATACGCCGCTGACTCAATCTTTGAGCAAACGATTTTCGATCGATCGCGCTTGCCAAACCGTGACACACACCGCAGCTCATCTCCCCGCTTTTATTTCGGCAACAACGGATTAACTTCTTTCATTCCCTCCCATAGTTACTTTGGACAAATTCAGAGTTTGAAGAAATTTTGAGTTCTGAAACGCATCATAACTTTCGAACTCTGTGGAAAATTTTAATTCTCAAGTCACTCAAAGATTATAAAATTTGTAATGAATTTTCAATTGCTTTCCTATAAGCTATGCAACGCAAAGAATAGAAAATTCAGAATGTTAAAAACAGATAATTATGCCATTGGTATTTCTGCAAATCCGACCAAAACATCCAAAGTATTTGAAATTTTCACAATTATTGGATCAACGTTTAACTTTTGGTTGCATGAATAATTATTTGATTTGCTCATTGGTTTTCTTCTGAATTTGTCTAAATTTAAATAATAGTTTTAATTTACAAATTGAAATTTCACAGTCCCGGTGGTGCGGTGACGTCAGAATGGCGACTTATTAGTCACGTGCACGTGACCAGGCTTCTATTATAGAGGCGGTTAGTTTTAATAGACGTGCTAAGATCTTTCCTGAAGCACTTTGATACAGAAGCATAAGTGCACCTTTTACGCTCTAATCTGGATATTTATTTATAAAATTTTAATATGCGCAGAATTCGAACTGCTGGAAGTTTCCTAAGCAACTGGTTTCTCAATTCTCGTCTTATAATTTTGTTCTGCAACGGAAAACTAAAATCTTCGACTAGAAGTAATTTGATTTGAATATATTTTTAATAAGTTTTACTGCAATTTGTCCTATAAAAAATTACAAAAAGTAGCACAGCCTAATTTACTTAAGTCAATAAAAATATTATTAGAAACACGGTTTGAACGGCAGCGGCCTTGCCAATGACATGAACTGCATGCTTCGAGAACATTATGTAAACTAGCGCCTGTCGTTCTCGAGGTATGCAACCAGTGCAGCATGCGTGATGGGCAATCAGTATAGCTCGACCTGCGGGGAGTTTTGGAGTAAAATAAACGTGAAATAATTCCAATCTCATTCAACAGAAAAATTTGAAATTATTGTGCGTTATTAATGTGTTCCCATTTTTTCTATTTACAATAACTTAATTTTATTTTACAAATAAATTTAAGCAGAATTTAATAAGAAACGCTAACTTTAATTATCTTTTTTATTTATTGTTGTTGTAGTTTAATTGTCGATTCAATATAACAACAAAAAGTTCCATTTTTATTGAGGAATTAGAAGATTAGTGGATTTGAATAAAAAGAAGACTTTCCGAAACTTGAATTAACTTTGATTTCTACTGAGAAAATAAATTCAGGCGTTGAATGTGCTAAAGAAATTCAATATTTTGAACGGCCGTGAAAGAAAACCGTTGACAAAATTTGGGTCGCTTTCGCCACATTTTGGGGTCAGTCGGGAATAAGAAAATCATAAATTCCGATTTATTCGGGCGGCGAGCGAGCGAGATTTCCCAAGAAAAGGCCACTGGGTCTTGGTCGTGTTGAACGAAGGGGTTTGACAGATGTGGAGCGCGGCCGTGATTGGCGGACCGCGGCGCCCCTCTCGGCCCCTCCGACGGCCATAGTCCGTGCGCCCTCGGCCGCAGCCCCAGTTGCACTTCTGGCTGTGATTGTGAAGGTTCGAACCGACAAGGTACGTCCCCCTTGGAGACCTTTCTTTTTTTGCAAAAGAGAGCGAGAGAAAGGATTCTCATCGTCCGAATTGTATAGGTTTGATTTTTCAAAATTCTCCAACTCTATAATTTGGCAATTTTTATTAAACAATTTTTTAAATTCAAAATTTTATCCAAAGACTTTTCCGATTCAAAGTTGCATCTTTCGGAGCGCCGCAAATTAATTGCGGCGCCAACGAAGCGAGAGCCGGTCTAAAATTAGCACGTTCGGCTCGTCGCTATTTTGGTCGGTGTCCACAGACTCTTAAGGATATGCGAGCCCCACCACTACAGGAATAGATTCGGATTCTTCGAATATCCGATTGCTTTCGAATGATGTCACCCGCTGCTGACAAACAAGAAGAGAATTTCTGAAAAATCAAATTCGCAATTATTTTTTATATTCAAGTGGATTTCCCGGCTGATTGCAGGTCACACCTAGTTTTGAAGATTATCTCGAAGGTACAGCCGACGACAACTCACTAAACGAAAATGCTGCTCAAGACCCATCTCGACATTATCAGCAGGAACGAGCCTGTGACGAGGAAGGCCAAATTCTGGCAGTCCTATGTGCGCGCTCTTAAGGGTGAGTCATTTCACAACTTTAGCTCGAAGCATTTAATTATTGTTTTGTAGGAAAGTCAGTGAAAGTTGATGACATTCTAATATATTATATAAAATAGAAGGAAAAAGGAAGATAATTTCAAGCAATTTTAGTAAAAAAATTTTTGGAAATTTCTGGAACATTTCATCTTTTAATAGAGAAATAATTGATTTTAATTTGTAGTTAATTTTAAAATAATTTTTATGTATTTTCTTGGAAAATATCAACTTTAAATTATAAAACAATAATTTAAATTTAATTTGGAAGTAATTCAAATTTTTTTATGTTTATCTATTATTGAACATTTGAATTAAAAATGGAATTGTTGTGTTTGCAGGCACTGATGACATGAAGGCCCCCGAACAAAGCCGCGCCCCCCGCAGCATTTTCCGTCCGATCTACTCCGAGTTCCCCGAGCTGGCGTCCAAGCTGGACACCTGGCCGCACAGCAAGTCCCTGTACGAGGACCCCGCCGTCGCCCACGAGCGCATCAGCTCCCCCGGCTACCGCTACCAGCCCATCTCCAGGGACACCTACGGCTACTCCCCCCGCTCCTTCCTGTACCGTGACCCCGTTCGCACCGGTACGTACGGTACTTACTCCCGCAGGAAATGAGAGCACAAAAAATACTTCCATAATTATATACGCAATGGGGACGGGAGCCAAAATTTTATTTTAATTCGCAAACAACTTTTCAGTCAAAATCGCAAAACGAGATTTTGATTCAAAAGTAGTTTTTTCAGAGAGATTATTATTTTGTAAGGAAAGAAGAAAGGTCGCGAGGGGCGCGAAAATCATATTTCAGGCCTCTCGCGGTATTTTTTTGTTGAATGATGCAAGGATTGTGTGCAAAATCAAAGAGGAAAAGGGGAAGTTTTCGCTTGAAAAGAAGAAGTGTGCAAAGTGCAATCCAAGTTGGAAAACATGTCAAAGACTTTAAACCGAGTCTAGGGTTGGAATTGTCTCTTAATATCTTTAACAAAAAAGCCTTCTGTATCAATTAACAAGATATACGCACCTGTTCTTTTATATATAAACGCGCAAATTCTTTTAAGTAAGTGTCACCCAATAACCCTGGAAGAGAGAATCTGTCTAGTTTTTTTTTCTGCCAAAATCCTTGTCCGGAATGCAATTAATACAAATCTATACATATAATTTGCATGCATTTTCGATTTTTAATTTTGTCATAATGCTGCAATAATTATTCCGGATTTTCCTATCAAACCAGCGAGAGCTTATATAATTTTTTCTTTCTGTTGATTAATTAATTTATAAACCGCGCGCCAACAGCGAGAGCACGACAAGAGAAAAAAAACCACTGTGTATAAATATTATATAAATAATTATTTAATATATTTACTTCTCAATGTGTACTATTAATTTAGCAAGATCCACGATTTTTGGGTCAATAAATATTTTGGCCATAAACATTTTGCGCTTTTTATTTTTGACTCTCAACCTCTCTCCAAAAAAGTGACGAATAATTTTTCTCTGCAGACAAAAGCTACTACAATTAATCCTCGGCTGCTTATCCTCCGCACTTTTAATTCCTAACAATCTAGACTTGAACTGTAACTAATTGGAAACTCACCAAGAATAAATAAACATAGATATTTACATTTTCATCAAAATGAATAATTTATATAAACTTTTGAACAAGGACACTAAACGAAAGTGAAACCAAATCATCACACTCTATAAAAAAGTCTAGAGAATTAAAAACAGAAAACAGAGACGCCGAACATGAAAATGAGTGAGAATATCTAAATTAATCTATGGCCTAACCAGTCTGAAGCATCGCCATAATGCAACTAACGCAGACCAACAGCCAGTGTGAGTATAACTGAAGCAAAAATGAGCCAGTAACAAATTTTTATCTATTAAAAAAATTCCGATTTTGGACAGGGATTTTGATTTCATTCACATTTTGACAAAATATGATTTAACCCCGGCAGAACCTAGAAAGCCCAAAGCCCTTCCGAACGAGACGCAAGCATGGAACGACCACCTGGAGCGCATGGCGGCCATGGGCAAACTGGCCCCCTTCAGGCGCTCCATGTCTCCGCCTCCGAGGTCACTCAGGGCGAGGTCAGCGTCGCCTGTGAGGGCGCGCTCTTCGGAGCCTTTTGAAAGGGCCTCATCGCCCTTCGCCAGGGCTGCGTCTCCCTTCACCAGGTCCTCCTCACCCTCACCCATTTTGGGATACACTTATTCAGGTAAAATAAAATTAAAAAAATGTTAGTGATTTCTTTTTAATTCTTAATAATTGTCTTTTTAGTCATAAAAAAATTGTAAGCGCAGGGGAAGTTATCATTCCTGACGACGTAAATAAATTAATTCAAAACTCTTTTGGACTTGGATATTGACTCAAGTTTAACGTTTTTTGTTTTCAATTATAACAAATTTGACATTGATTTTTATAATTTGTCCATTATAGCATTTAGGATTTTTTAAATGACATTTGTGGTCTTAGAATTTCATTTTGACCTCACAGGTTACCCTATTTACACTCGGGAGGGCATCAGCCGGCCCGCCCTGGTGCGCATCATGAGTCCCAGCCCCTATTTGTCGGCTGCGTCGGTGGTGCGCGACCCCTGGTGGTACGCCTACCCTGAGCTGAAGCCCTTCGAGTCCGACTACGTCTACCGCTCGTCTCCGTCGTACCTGCGGAGATCGTACTTGTCCCCGGTCAGCAACCGCTACCTTTGGAATCAACACCCGGTCAGACCCTTCTGTAAGTTGTCCTCAGATAATTACTGAAAAAAGAAATTTCTAAGCCTTTTGTGCTGCAGAAACGAAAGAAATTTGGTCCCTGCTGGAAATACTGAACCTGCGCCTGTGACTTTGACAATTCCCGATACTATGAAAGATTTCATAGTAAAGTGGAGAACTGAAATTGCAGCTTGGAATATACTAAAATTTCACAACTTTTTCAACAACAATCCTGTTAACAAAAACACTGCTAAGATATTTTTTAACAAAACAATGTTTAATTTCTTCCGCTAACTGTGTATACTTGTACAGATATTAAATAAATAATTTTAAGAATATATTAATACACAAGATGTTCTTTGCTAAAGGCGATGACTTTTATTTTATTAAATGAAAACAACCTGTAAATCAATGCAGTGCGTAAAGATCACTTTTCAACATTTAACCAGACCAAAAGTACTTGCAGACAAAGTAATAAATCTCCACTTTCATAATTTAAAATATTTACTTCAGTCTCAAACACATCATAAATTTTGATCATTTTTATAAAATTACCCAGGAATTGGAGGATCAAAACTATTAAAGTCAATTCAATTTTTGTATCGAATTCGGTCAAAAAATTTTGGACAAAAATCAAAATAAACAATTTTCGGATTGACTGATTATTGCAAGCTTTGGTCCGGGTTGACTTTAGTCGGAGCACCGCATGCACTGGTGGTGTTCCCCAGGGACAAGAATGGTTTGGTCCCTTTGGAAGTTGTGGCAATTGTCCACGTGTTTGGTGTGCGTGTCTTTGTCCTTGAGCACGGCCTTGCAAAAAGTGCACCTGCGGAACTTGCACTGCAGCCGCAGGTAGTGCCGCACGAGTTCTTTGGCGCAGTCAAAGTTGTTGAAACACAAATTGCAGGTGAGTCTCTTCTTCATGATGCGCTGGATCTGGAAACTGGCCTTCAGGTGGCTCGCGTGCACGTGCACCAGCAGCGACACCCTGCTGCTGTAGTAGCTGCTGCAAATCATGCACTTCGGCTTGCCCATGCCAACCTGTTGAAAAAATGACAAAAATTTATTATTCGATTTATACAGAAAAACGATAGGCTGTTTTCCAGGTCAAAAGGAACCTTTGAAAGGTGACGTGTTTTGTATTTTTTGCTTAAATTATTCTATTGGTTGTATCGAAATGAGTCTGAAATCAATTTAGAGGAAATTCAATCAACTATCACATGTACAATTTTCTTAAATTTGACAAGAATTAAAATTGGAAAATTTTTAATTTTCTGTTCAGTTTTTCAGCATTAGCTCTTTGCATATACAATTTTAATTTATCCCTTTTTTTAACTAAGTTATTGTTAAAAAATGTGAAAGGTTTTTAAGATTTATAAATGTGGTTTTTTAATAACGAAATAAAACCTTGGAAGAATAAAATTACTCAAATTCAGGCCAATTAATAAACATTCTTTTCTTCAGATTAGACTTAAAGCCTTGCAAATTGTAATATCATTAAATCAAAGTTTGGTATCTTCTGAGGTAATCAAAAAATCAAAATTTCCTTATTGGACTTGCCTGAAATATTGTTGGAGATATAATGAAAAGTGTGAAATTAAATTGATTTTGTTAATTTAAAAAGTTTCTCTTAATTGTTTTACGATCTAAAAATCAATCTAAAATAAACAATATTTTACATTCCTTTAAATAATTGAAAAATTTAACACTAAATGATTTAATTTATAGAGGGATACTGGTAAATTTTTTATTCTGAATTTGAAATGACCAAGTTTCATGACAAAAAAAAAATTACTTTGAACCCCTTCAGATCAGAGGTTCTCCTTTTTTTCCTTAAGAAAGAATAAATAACAATTTAAAGTTAGTCCTGATTGCTAAATCAATAATCCAAGTTTAAGTTAACACAGTCGACATTCTACTCCCGAACAGTAATATTGAATCCACAACATAGCTCGAGTACTTTTGATGCTATCCAGATATGAAAACAAAAATTACCAAAGTCCCTATGTAAGTAAACTTGGTAAGTTTTAAAAGCTCATTAAAATCCCAGTCTCATTTCAATGCAAAAAATCAACAAATGACTGCAAAAAATAGCGAAACCTTCTTTTGAATGTGCTTTTTGATCCGAATTCGACCTAGAAAATGAGCCAGTGTAAATTTGTGTTGCTTTCTGGACTGACCAACAGTTGGCACCAGTTGTTGTGGCAGAGGTCGCAGTCGTTGACGTCCCTGGGGATCTCGTCGGTGTGCTCGTGGTACCAGTGGTAGGCGAAGAGGTAGCCCGAGGTGAAAACCTTTTCGCAGAACTCGCAGGTCATGCTCTGCAGGGAGCACAGGGAGAAGTGGCTGAAGTAGTTCTTCTCGCTGGTGAAGATGCGGTGGCAGTTGGAGCACTTGACGATCGCCTTGTAGCACTCCTCGTTCTCCAGGTGCTGCTCCAGGAAGGCTTGGGGCGTGTCGCAGTGCAGACAGTTCCGAGGCTGCGCCTTTTTGTACCGACCGCTCTCCTCCGGCTCCCTCGACTTAATCAGCTGAGGCCGCTTCGGGACGATTTTGGGAAGAACGGAACTGCCTGCTGAGCTCTGCAGGATCAGCCGAGGGTGGTTTCCGCCCGGGGTGGTTTGGATAACTTGGAAGAAGGTCCCTCCGAGGGTGCCTGGTTGGATTTGCACCGTCCTGATCGGCTGAACCACCGTCGCAGTTTTTATACATTTCTCTTCGATTACAACAGGCTCCTCGTCCACTATCTAAAACAAGGATTTTGTTTCAGATGATGATATAAAATTTGAAAAAAATTTTACTGTTTCCGATTCCTTTTCCATCAAAGGGTCAAAGTCTTCAGACTCGTAGTTGGCTTTTGGGGAAGAGGGAAAACTGACAAACTCGAACTCATCCAAGGATTTGTTTTCAGGAGAATCTTGCTGAATCTTGAATAGAAAAAAAATAATAAGAAATCTTATGTTTTTGGTAAAAAATTATTAAAATCAATCTTACAAATTCTTCGTTCCTCGACTCAATTAGCTCAATGCCGTTTTCACTTGGATCGTCTTCACTTCTCACTTCTGCACTACTTTTGATTCCAGTCGGATTCCCTTCCTTTTTTTCACTTTGCATTATGCTACGAACGAGAAATTAATTATTTTAAAATCAAGAAAAGCACACAAACGAAAACGTCATAATTATCAGAAAAAGACAACGAACCTGCGGAAAACACGCAACCTCCGAGGCACGCAATACCAATTTTCGATACACGATGTTTTCAGTTGATATTTGATTTTTCGAAAAAAACGATTAAATTTGTTCAATTAGTTTAAACTCTATCATTTGATCTTAAACTCGCTTAAACTTAAATTTGATGTGTAAAATTTTGTCTTGTTTATTTGCAATGGTTGAACATTTTGACGTCGTGGCGCTGTTTTTCATTAAAAGCCCGCGGTGCGAAACAGTTTAAAAAATGGCGCAAAAGACGCGTGTAATCTTATTCAGCCTCAGTTAGTTAGTACGAGAATTCTTTTCTTGCAGCTTCGCGTCACAAAAGGTATTAACTTTTTTATGCCAGGCGCTCAGATTTAATTTTTTTCAGAAATAAAAGAAATAAAAAATGTTACTACCATATGAAGAATTATTTTTTTTAATCAGTAGGTGCAGGCGGCGCATCCTTTCATTTGAATGACAATTGCTAAATTTTATCATGGACGTAATAGCGAATAGTAGAGAAAAAATTATTTATTTATTTATAATTGCTTTAGTACGGTTTTGAAGTATAATCTGGACCCAGATTCTGCCCTAGCTATCGCTTGAGTTCTCCCACAATGATTTGCAGTTTCTATTGTGCAGCAAATGATTTCACTTTCTCCGGCGCATCCGAATTAAAGGCAGACGCTGACAATGAGACTGACCTGATGGCAAATCCATACGCAAGCACAACAAACGAGAGAAGTTGAACCTTGCAGACAGACTCGCAGGAGGCTTCTGCGCCACATGTTCAAGACGAGAACAAGCCTCGTAAGGCATTGGAGGTTTGGTCCAGAAGGCAGGTAGGTGACCTTCGGTTTGACCTGCTTGTTGATGACGAGGTGCTTCTTGGTTCAGAGGGAGTGCTGGGTGTCGGGCAGTGACAGGATCAGTTCCTATCAGCTGCGCCCTTCCCAAGAGCACTGGGTCCATTTCTCTTGTCATTCGAGTAGAACTCGAGATTCGCCTCTAGGTTGATGTGCAGACCTTCGCTGGTGTGGAAATCGTGTCGGCCCGAGTGACGCCAGGCAATCAAATTCCAGCTGAACAGACAAATTTAAATCGTTAGTCCAAGTACGGAATTCATTTGCCATCAATTAAGGTATCTTTTTTACCAAAGGAAAATAAATTCAGACATTAAGTTTCTGCCATTTCAAATGAAAAACAAATTGCAAAAGCTTTTTATGAAAAGATTTCCTTGTTAACAAACTTTGCTTTAATATCTTTAGATTGAAAATACACTTCAAAGAGTAAAATGGTTATGATAAAAAAAATTGCTTTAGAATTGAAGTGTTTTGCATCGCAGTAACGCTGCAAATCAGTTTTTAGAGATTTTATTGCTTAAATCAAAGAAGTCTTTAATGCATTGTTAAATAACTCTACAGATTTCTAAAAGAAAAAGATTTACGAAAAGACTTTTAATTGTAAATGACTTAACCACTGACATAAAATTGACTTTGAAACTAGTTTAGTGATCAGCCTTTGACAGGTTGGACTAATTCACCTTTTGTCCTGGATGTAGAGGGCAGTGGGATTGGCGACCCTGAGAGTGGCAGAGGCGTTAATGTCCCTGACATGGATTCTGGTTTTGCTGACGGACAGCGCCTCGACAATGACCCCGTCCTACTGCAGGCTGGCGATTCCAGAGTCCTGCACCTCCAGTTGGTACTGCTCAGAGGGCAGCGCCACTTTCTCCTGGCGACCGTACCGGACAAGTTCCCAAAAGGGATATCACCTGCAAAATTCATTTTACTTTCTTTTACATTGACACATTTTTTGGTCAACTTTGATTGAAAGAATATTTCAAAAAGTGTTTCAAACAAAAATTCAATCTTGAGATATCTATTACATAGAGCTATAATTTTGACGGAGTTTTTTACATTAAGTTATTTAATAATAAAAAGTATTATAAATAGCGGTTGAATGACCTTTAAGTGTCGGTCATGACTCAAGAGCAGGGTGTCGAGCTGAAGGTTGGCGACAACGGTGAGGAGGATCTTGGGCGCTGGTCGGGCGTTCTGTTACTGGGGCTGCGTAACTCATACCGTTAATTTTCAGTCACATTTTTGAATATGTTAAGCCCTGTTGAGGAAGCAATCGAATTATTAAATCACTTTTATGAAACACATTTTCATAATTTTTTTTACAATAATCATAGCATAATTTGATTAATAAACTGACCAAAATCGTAGGCCTGAACCTCGAAGATCTCCCTGGTCATGGTGGTGACGATTGTGAGGCTGGCGATGACGTCGCAGTGCAGCACCTCGCCTGAGGCGACGTCCTCGGCGATGGCGATGGCCCTTTGGCGACGCACCTCCGAGACGACGGCCGACTTTCAGCCGGGCCAAGTCGGATCGGGCCGAATTTCGCACTTTGTTCGTCGAAAAGTGCAGCGTGTGAAGTTGTTGGGGGGAATTGGCTGCAGGGCAGGACGCGCGGGTGGATTGTTCAATTTGGCCGCGTCCGAATTGTCTGAGGCAACAAGAGTGCGGCCGCGACCGCCGCGAACCTTCTTTTCCGTCTCTTTTCGCTCTTTTCCTCAGAGAAAAACGCCGGCTCAAGACGTCAACACAGGTCGCCATACTTTTTTTCCGACAGGTGCTGCCACCTGCCAAGTGCCAACGTGACCGCGCGGCCGCTTTTGCAATGGCTGCCATGTCCCCCCTCCACCATTGGTCACTTGGTGCGGTCGAGTGGGGCAGGAGAGGGGAGGAGCCGAGTCCGCTGCTCCTGTCCGTCGCCTCGTCCCAGTCTCCATCTCCACCGAGCGCACTTGACACGCTCTCCGACGACTACCTTCAGAGTCTTTGTCCCTGAAGACGGACAGACGGAGCCGACGGAGGTTGGAGACGGGCTGAGCAGGAAATTTCCTATCCGACTCACCGACCGAACCCAGAACGCGGCCAAAGCGCCAACAGACTCTACAGAGCCACGACCAAGGCCGGACGACTTCCAGCGGGGCTTCTTATAAAGGTATAAGGCGCCTTTTTGTTAATAGATTTATTATTCAGCTTTTCCTGATTGTGTCCTTATAATTCGTTTTGAGAGTGCATTTCATGCGAGACTGACGCAATGTCTATATATAAATTTGTCGTCCGTTTCGGTTCGGCGAGAGAGACATTATGCAAATTTTATCGGCGCGCACACGAGCAAAATGCGTTTGGTACCATTTTTTCTTGGCATTTCGCTCATTTTTTCTTGGCATTTCGCTGGCTAAGAACCAGTGTGTGCGTGTTTTGTTCTGTCGCCGTTTGCAAAAATTCCAATCGCGTGCGTCTGTCGCGAGCGACGGAATTTATTTTATTTTGCGTCTTTTATTTATTCCGCGCGCTGAGAATTTCTATGGATGTTCATTTAACATTTTCGATTTTTCAGAACATTTACGAAAAAAACGTTTATTAGAAACTGGCGTTTTTTGACCTTCACTTTGTCGCAATATTGCGATGTTGCGGCGGAAAAATATTAAAAAAAACTGTATCATGAAAATTTTGATTGAATCAAATGCGCGCGCCACGATTTTTTATGTTTTTATCTTGCAGGACGAGAATCAGAGAATTTCCAAGTTGATAATTTTGCATCATTTTTGGGAAAGGAAAACGTGTCACCTGCTTCATATTTTTTTTTTTGTATTGCTTCAGTCGTTGCACAGATATTGGCTCGATTGCCTCTGCTCTGCAGCCTGGTTGTTGCCCCGAGACCGAGCGCGTCTGGACTGTGCCCTGAGCTGATTGTGAGACCTGAGCGCATCCGACAAGCTCGGGTCAATTAACACATTAGGCTTTTGTGAGTACAAACAGCTTCTTTTTTATCTTCGGCGCGCATCATTTTCCGAATTGCACATTTAGAGAGCCATTAAAGTGCGTTCAATTGCTGAATAATTAACTCTACGAAAGAATAACCCAACCGCACCTGCGAAGCCATTTTATTTAATTCGTGTCAAGAACGACGGAACTTATAAAATCGGATTGATTTTGAACAATCTCTTCTCCTCAGGCCGCACTTTGCTTTGGAATTTTCTTAATTCTGCAGTCTTTGCAATGATTTTTGGAGTTCGGCAACAAATTCCGCACTCTTTTGACGCGTTTCCTTCATTTTGCCATTTGCGATCGAAATGCTGCAGAAATGTTCGCAAAATCCTCAAGAGAGGAAATGGCACTTTTCGCGTTTCGCGCCCATGTCGCTGCTCGCGCGTTCAAATCTCTTCTCTGGGCAGTCTGGGACGTCCATGATTATGTACCTAATACGATTAACTTTGCTGAGCGGACAAGTTAAAGCGCTCGTCACGATTGGAATATGATTTTTGCTCGAAATTAAGCCTCAATCACGTTGTAAAATTTAATTTTTCTTGTATGATTACTACTTGAGAATTGACTGAAAAATTAAATCTACAAATCAGCACAAAATTAGAATATTCATATATATTCATGAGTTTTTTTAAATCATTATTTTTATTATATTTTGTAATTTTTAAGAGTTTCGGCCAGAATTTTTTTTAATCAATTATTTTTGCTGTATTTTTCAAGCTATCAAAATGTTGAAAATGTGTGGAAATGAATAAATTGCCACTACTTCAAAGAATTTAAAACTTGAGTGATCAAAAAGACCCCATGCACCACAGTAAGAAATGTACAAATTAATTTTTCGTCAAATTTTAACATAAATTTAAAACAGAAATTTAATAAACAAAACATTGCAAATTTCAAACGACAGCAATGATAGAATAAATAAGGTTCTCGTTGAAATTTCTTAAACTTAGTTGAAGGTACTGAAGATTTAACTTTATTATATCATAGCGGTTAAATCTAATTAAAAATAAAAAAATATATGTATTGAAAACAATTTTTTTTTGTCTTGTGTGCATAGAAGTTATTTCATATAAAATTAGATATGAATTTGAAATTTTAAGCTAAAAAGTGACCCAAAAGTATAATTTAAATTGATAAATAAATTCCAAATGAAATTTTCCTATTTGAAATCTTATTAGGGAGAACTGACTAAAAATAAATCTATAACATTAATTCAGTGAAAATGCAAATAAAGTTACCTTGTCTATTTTCTTGAATTTTTATGAAGAGCATGGGCAAGATTTTTCGCTGGTCGCAGGTCTGGCGAAGTTTTTTACAACAGGGAAAAGCCCGGGCTCTTTATAACTATTTTAGAGTTTACCAATTTTCGTTGGACTGCAGTCGGAATTTTATCCTTCTTAGTTGGTGAAGATGTTCTTAATTTACGTTCCCAGTGCAGTGATTCAATAATATCGCATCAGTATTCAAAAAGTTGGTATTTTATTTCTTATGAAAATTAATAATCTACGCAATATTTTCTTCGAGAAGAGGCGCATGATATATGTGATTGCGTATTGCGCTTTAGACGCCTTTGTTTAAATTTGCTCTGCGATTACACTTTCTTGAGTTGATAACATGCGCACCAGTTTTAAATGAATAGCAACGCATTTATAAATTGCAAAAGATATCGCGTTTTGCGGCGACACAGCTCTTGGGCATGGTTTTACGCAGAATATTATTCAGGAGAAAATAAGCCAAAAGAACATTTTTGCGATGTTTCGTCGCGTTCGATCCCTGCAGTGCGCGCGGAGGAGCAAGTTTTGTCGCTGGGAAAATTCGTCGCTCTCGACACCCTCGATCGCGTCGCATTGTTGCATTTCCAGCATTCTCTCTTTTGAAATGACCCTTGGATTGCGTTCTCTGAACTGTGAATTCCTTTTCTTCGCCAAACGACAAGTGCCACTTTCACATTTTGAAATATAAATATAAATTTATATTTTTCAACCAGGGTGTATTGCAAAGTTTTTCTCTGAACCGAAAAGGTGGCATATTTCAGAATTTTATATTTAATTTTCCGCTCTAATTTTTGTACGGCGCGGTCAAGAGAGCTCAAATTTGGCATTTGGCCTTATAGTCTTCATGCACGTTAAACGGATTTCGGACGAAGCAAGATGAGCGGAAAAAGCAGACGCGACGTATTCTTGTCTCTTGATTCAATACCATTAGTACCATTAGCATAAGTAGCCGAATCGTATAAACACTCACGAATATCATTGCTAAATAATTGGTTTCTTACGCAGTATGAATATAATTTATATTTGGTGTGATTATTCGTAATATTTGGTAGAAGAAAATATAATTTAACGCTCAACTTTGCATTTCTTAAAAGGCATTTCCGAATTTTCCGATAAATGAATTAGAAGTCTTGCAATGCCAGGAGCAGATGAAATGTAGCAGATCACCTGGTCTTGGGTTTTAGAAGGAGAGAGCTCCGGGTGCTGCATCGCATTGTCGGAATCTGCAAGGCACACATGCATTTTTAAGAAGATCTAGGTCGCTATCTTAGTGGGCCATGCAAGAAAATTTAAACCACCAGAGCGGCCGAATTGGATATTATTGATTTTTATTCTTTGAAAACAACGTTTTTTTAGAGATTATTTCAATGCGCTTATTAAACATTTAAATTGCTGTTAATCACAATTTAACCACATTTTATAGCCAAATTACGACAGAGAGAAAACCATTATAAAAGGTATTTTCTGCCATGTCGTTTGATAACAAAAATAAACATTTCTTTTCGTTTTAACGCAAGCAAGCCTTATTGTTTTTGCAGCGTATGAATAGTAAAAAGCAGCATATTGCTGCTACAAACTCAATTTAAAAGTCAGAGCGAAAAATTAAAATTCGGAATGGTTGCTAAGAAATAAATTATTTAAAAAAAAATCATTAAGGCCTGAGTAAATTTTGCAAGTGGAAATTTGGAGAGTTTAATTATGTACTAAAATCCAAAAGATTTAAAAAAATTAAAGCTTAGTGTTGAATTAAACACATGAATTAAATTTTTATTTTTAAAATACTCTCAGCTCTCTTTCTACACGAGTCACTAACAATCAAAGACCTGATAAAAGGGGCAACTTCAGAAAAATTTTCAATGCTTGAATATCCATATTATGTAATTCTCGCGGAAGTAGATTGATAGCGACTTAAGCTTCTTTCTCCTCACAAGTTTTTTCTGTGACGTGGCTCAATCCGAAGGGTCCTTTTTGTTGCAGATAAAACACAGACCGATGATGGGGTTTTGTTTGACTGAAATGTGTTTTTTGTTTCTTTTATTTTTATAACTGAATTTAAAAAATTAAAAACTTCGTACAATTTTTAAAAGTGCGCAATGACTGAAAATTAAATCGCATCAATATTCATTTGATTAAAAACCTTGGTATTAAAAAATTAAATTTTTAATTATTTTCATCAAGGTGAGGCGCATGATTATTATGCGATTATAGAGCGCTGTTTTACTTTCTTCTGCGATTCCTTTCTCAAAACATGCACCAGTTTAATTAAAGGATTTATACTAAATGGTGCGCACGTTTTGCGGCGACACAGCTCTTGGGCATCAATATGCGCAAAGAATATTCACGGAGTAAATGGGCGAAAAGTGCATTTTTGCGATATTTGCCTCGCGTTCGATCCCTGCAGTGCTCGCAGAGGAGCAAATTTTGTCGCTAGGAAAAATTCGTCGCTCTTGACACCCTCGATCGCGTCGCATTGTTGCATTTCTAACATTACGTCTTTCAAATGACCCTTGGATTGCGTTCTCTGAATTGTGAATTCCTTTTCTTCGCCAAACGACAAGTGCCACTTTCACATTTTGATTCTTGTCGTTAATTTTTATTTTCATTCTTCTTCTATCAAAACAGGAGTCACAAGGAATTACAGAATGAATGATGAAAATTATGAAAAAAAAATCAATTATTGCGAGATTATTACTGGATTTTAATGAAAGTAAAAATAACTATATAACCAAAGTTGAAGGGCAAACAAACGACGAGTGCCACTTTTCGATTATTGTCGCTGATTTTTTTCAATTAAATAAAACTCCAATTCACGGTGTCAGAAAAAGGTGGAGTCAAAATATTAAATTTTTTTAGAATCGGCAGCCAATTCTAGTAAACTAGTCACAAAAACCCGTTTAATACAAGATTGGAAACCTACCCGGCCAAATGGAGCCGTTCGAACGAGCTTTTTAAGATGAGAAATTTAATTTAAATAGGAAACACTTTCCAAGCAGATTTAATTAAACTGCCAAGTTGAACAAGATTTAATAACTTTTTTGATTCGTGGGGAATGCAAATATAATGGAAATTGATTTGCAGTTAGAATTCCAGAGATATATTTATTACCTTGCATTTTTTTTTGAGCCATTAAAGTGAACTCGTTTCTCTAATTGTTATACCGTATTGTTGTGCACATTCTTTGCTTTATAACAATTGACAGAGAATTGAAAAATGCGCGACTTTTGCACAATTCAGATGCTCCTCGCGTTACATATGTTCTTTATTAATTTATTTAATTATATTGCTGCGATATACATAAATAATAAAACAAATGAAATAAAAAATTATTATAGGAAAGGCACAAGAGAGAAAAAAAGGCGGAAGTCTGTGCCCAGCATCGAATCCTTTTCACCCTCAGTTCAAGCAGCACACGTTTGGTCAGACTTTTTTTCTGGCAGGTGTGCTGGAAAAAGCGGACGCGTTGCAAGTGTCGCGATTGCCATCTTTGCATCGCAGCAATCGCTGGTGCCGAAGTGCGATTCAGTTTTCCTTGAAAAAAGACCCGTCGAGAGGCTCCACCGGCCAGTCAGGGTAGCGGCCCCTTCCTGGGAGCAGGTCAAAGTAACCTTTGAATGTCCGAGGCAGCAGAAATAAAGCCTTTGCTCTTGGCTTCAGAGGCAAACGCCGAGCAAAAGAGCCTTTTAGCATTACCGTCTTTTCTCTC